CCCTGCCATGAAAAGCTAAAGCCTCACAAGCACTTGTGAGCTTTCAAAAAAAGGTCTAAGGCTCTAAGGGCGACGGACCTATTTCACCGAGCGGAGACTCAAACCGAAGCCCCTCGACCCCACCATTCCCAGAGCCACACCACGACCCGGAAAACTACGCCTTGAACCCACAGGGGGGGGGGGGGGGGGGGGTAGGATCGGGGCCCGCGGGGCGAAACACCGGGCTTAACCAGAAGTATTTCACACTACGTAGGCCCTCGCCCGAAACCCTAAACCCTGAACCCTAAACCCTAAACCCTAAACCCTGAACCCTGAACCCTAAACCCTAAACCTTAAACCTGCCTTCTTCTTCAAGGCCCTCTGGGCATGCCGATCCCAAGCACGCTTCGGCCGCACTTCTGCAAGCAGGGTTTGGTGTTTTTTTTTTTGGGGGGGGGCTTTTAAAAGAAGAACAAAGGCACGCCCAGAAGTGGAAACGGTGTCCCAGGGCTGTGGGACTGTTGTGAAAGAACGATGACCTCTTCTGCAACAGGGCCCCGAAGCTTGAGCTGTTGTTGCACCTGACCAGCCCCGTTGTTTGCGAGGTTGTTGATGTCACGAATCTACTCGACTGTAACATATACACTCGCAAAGCGAGCGTCGCATGTCAGAGTCTCATCCCAGCCACTGTTGAACAACAAAGGACCGCGCCTTGTTCTGACATCGCGGACTTGGGCGGAAGACGGCCTGGTGCAGGTAGACAGTTAGATCGCCCAAGTGGTTCAGACAACCTTTCCCAGCTAACTTAACAACCTGACTAGGGCCCAAGGGCTGTCGTTCAAGAGTAGCAACTGGTACTCATGCCGTCAACCGGCAAACGAGATCTTCATGCCTGGGGATTTGGGCCAGGGTTCCAGATTCGGATGGGAATGCTGGAAAACTGCCTGTGCCGGTCTACCAATGAAAGAATGGTTAAGGACAATGTCAAGGGCCGGAAGCTAGAAAGCAAGTAGCCATACTGAGGTCCAAACTTTCGACTCAAAGCTACGCCGTGTAGATGTACAACCTTCTGTCAGCTTGCAAGTTTCATCTCAGGGTAGTTACGTTGTCCCTTAAGTATGGGCCCTTCAAAAAGGACCCCTTATATACTCCTTACATACCCTATACAGCCCAAGGGCCCATACTTCAGAACCCTGTAAAGGAGGGAAGGGACTATATTAAGGGCCCATGTAATTACCCTAAGACTCAAGGGTTTCTTGCTACCTAGCAGTCTGAGCTGAAGGCGTAAGCTCAGAATCTCCAAGACACCCTTGCAAATGTAGCAGTCGCGAATCCCAAGACACCGATCCCGCCGTGCCTTTTCCACGCTGAAGATTTGTGAGGAAGACTGTGAGCAGGCTGCATGTGTCCAGGTGCGTGCCTTTTCCTCACAAGGACTGCGCTGCCCTTGTCTGCTGACATGCGTTTGTCGGTTTAAATGGGTGCAGGGGTTGCACAACGGGCTCCTAACTCGGTGCACACTGCATGGAGCCGACCCGATGTTGCAGATGGCTCGCACGCTCCATATATATATATATATATATATATATATATATATATAGATATATAGATATATATATATATAGATACACAGATATATATATATATATATACGATATGTGATATGTGATAAATGATATATGATATATGATATATGATATATGATATATGATATATGATATATGATATATGATATATGATATATGATATATGATATATGATATATGATATTATGTGAAAGCTATGCTATGCAAAAGCACCATGTGATACAATAATAATAATAGTTATTATGATTGTATGGAAGTTTTTGATAATTATGTATATATGTAAGTAAGCTACATATATATATATATATATATGCATATATACATCTATATATACATATACATATACATATACATATACATATACATATACATATACATATACATATACATATACATATACATATACATATATATATATATATACATATATATATATATACATATATATATATATATCATTACGCAGCGTAGTAACCCAAGAACATGAGTCGGAATCATGGCCTTCACCACGCCTGATCCAATCTGCAGCCCAAAGCATTTCCTGTTCGGTCAGGCTTTAGGGTTTTGAGTTTAGGGGTTCAGGGTTTAGGGTTTAGGGTCCCCATAGGCTCTGGTCGAATGGAAGAGCTTACAGGTCGCATCACAAACTCCAGGAAAGCAGGAAAGGGGGGTGGGGGGAGATGGGGGGGGGGGTGGGGGGGGGGGGGGGGGGGGGGGGGCGGGGGGGTGGGGGGAGGAGTGGGGGGGGTGGGGGGGGGAGTGGGACACCCATCTAGAACAACATCAATGACAACTTGTTAAAGCGGCGACTTCTGAAATCACTACGATTGCAGATGTTGTCTTTCAAATTCTTGTTGGGCGGGCGGCTACATAACGAGCATATGCCAGGTCGCCTCATGCGGTGTCGTGTCTCCGCCAGTGTCGTCGGAACTGGCAGACGAGGAAGCACTTGGGAGTAGGTAACTAGGGCTTATGTTACCTTCATGCCGCCATCTGACCCAGAGGACTCCGCGGACATGCACGCTAAAGATCACGGGGGCGTGGGGGGGGGTTTACCCAACCCATGAAACGAAACGGTAGTCCGTGCAGAGCTGAACCATTCAGAGCCCTGGCACTACAGCACCTAACCATGGCAAGCTACGCCAAGGAAGCGGTCACCCGATTATGACGACATCCTATTTCAACCCGAGGAGACCCCTTGAGTCCACTACTTTCAAAAGTCTACATCTCCATGCTGCTGGGCTGCTGTCGCGCCCGGCAGTCCTCACATCACTGTTTGCCAAGGACATGGGCACCGGGGGATTTCGGAGTTTAGCTTCGGAGAAATTCAGGGTTCCTAAACCCTAAACCCTAAACCCTAAACCCTAAACCCTAAACCCTAAACCCTAAACCCTAAACCCCTAAACCCCTAAACCCCTAAACGCTAAGCCATGGCATCTCTTCTGGGGCACTCGGCGATTCCATGGCGATTTCAGCAACACCCCAGCTGCGGCTTCCGTACGCCTCCCACGCGCTCCTCGAGAAGGTCTTTGTTGAGGCTGCCGACCAGGTTTTCCTTGCCCATGAGGTCGAACACCCCTGGCCAGAAAACCCACAGCAAGAAAAAGAATGGTGAGGGTGAGGATGTTCCCCCTTATACTAACAGTCCTTCATAGGACTATAATAATAAGGGGTACTATCCCTATTAACAGACCTCAATAGGGATTGTAATAGGGGGTGCCATCCCTATCAAGGACTGCTATTATGAGGGGAACATCCCAAGTGAAGGGAACATCCTGTAGGAAGGAACTGCCTGACCCAGAGCTCATACTCCCTCTCCCCCCCCCCCCTCAAAACCCTAAACCCTGAACCTTGAGCCCTAAACCCTAGCCCGAAACCTTAAACCCTAAACCCTAAACCCGAAACGCTAAACCCCCCAAAAACCCCCCACCTTGGAGCAACCTCCAATCGCGTTCGCGGCGCTTCCTTTCGAAAGCGACAGCGCTGTTCAAGGCTGAGGACTTAGGGTTTGAAGCTTGGGGTTCAGGTTTAGGGTTTAGGGTTTGGGGTTTAGGGTTTTAAGGTAGGGTTTGGGGTTTGGGGTTTAGGGTTTAGGGTTTCGGGTTCAGGGTGCAGGGTTAAGGGTTCAGGGTTCAGGGCTGGGATCCTTCTCTGTAGTAGCTTATGACGAAGCATGGATGACCACGAGATCATATTGGAACTACTCAGACCCCCATAGTAAGAACCTAAAGTCTCTGCACCCTCAAAGGTCGAACGTCTAGGGACGCACCGAAGGGGTACGTGAGGCCTTTTCACGAGCAGAGAAGCACTCAGGGCACCAGATGTACCAGTAGGAGGTCGCATACCAAATGGTTTAGGGCTTAGGGCTTGGGGATCGGCATCGCATCATTCTGCCGAGCTGCACATACCACGAAACGATGCCAGCAAACTGCTTGTGGGTCACCTGGGCGTTGACTGTCTGTCCGTCTCTGTCTGTCTGTCTGTCTGTCTCTGTCTGTTGATCTACATTATGGGTTTTTGCAAAAGGTACCCCATATGTTGGGAGACCCCCACATCCGTTCCTTGCACATCTTTCCCGGGCCCATCGCGAACTTTCGCAGACAGATGCCTCGTATGAGCCACAGACCGAAACTCCGGCCTTATGCCCCCATACGGGCGTTTGCTTCTTCAATTCTGGATCCACCGAGGGCTCCTATAAGATTTCTACAGGGGCCATGATATCCATCCCTTCTCTCCCGTTTGTTCAGAAATGGCAACTTAGTCAGTAGCTCATGTCGTACTCAAGTACTCACGGGTTTGTGGCTTAGGGTTTAGGGTTTAGAATTTGAGAGTTGGGGACTTCGGCTTGGTCTGCTTATACTACGACGCACTTCTTTCGTCAAACTTTCTCGGGAAGTCACATGCACGGAATGCTGCAGAATGTATTTCCACGTCACTTGGGGCCAGACGAGGCTATGCAGCTTCCTTCACGGACGTCTGCATAATGTATATAACTTTCACGGACTCATCACGGGTCTTTACAAATGGATCCTCTTCCGAATCATGTCCGCTGCATGCGAAGAGGCCGACCCTCAACCCTAAACCCTAAACCCTGAACCCTGAACCCTAAACCCTAATCCCTAAACCCTAAACCCTAAACCCTAAACCCTGAACCCTAAACCCTAAAGCTTCCGAGAGTTGATGGGCCGAGCCACATGTGTGTCGGGCCAAGTCTCCTGCCCCCATGCTGACGTCACCTCGGAGGCACAGGAGAGAGTTTGAAGACTGTTTAGGGTTTAGGGTTTAGGGTTTGGGGTTTGGGGTTTGGGGTTTGGGGTTTGGGGTTTAGGGTTTAGGGTTTAGGGTTTAGGGTTTAGGGTTTAGGGTTTAGGGTTAGGGTTTAGGGTTTAGGGTTTAGGGAGACTGCGAGATTCAGAGTTGCTTGCGTGCTTGACCTCAAATCTTAGGCTGCTCTCGAAGGCAGTGGTCAAGCAGATTCAGGCTAGGCGCAGCATCATTGATGGCAAAGTCCAGGTAGATACCGAAGAGCATCTTAAGCATGTGCGACACATCCGCCCTTACCATGCGGTCATGCACGCCGTGTCTCAGGCAGTTTGTCAACTTAGACTCACAAAGGTGAAGGGGCTTCAACACGAAGGCTTGCATCAGGCACTGTCGACAAGGGCTTCAACCGGTGAAGCGCAGGAGGGGGGAAATGAAGCGAGTACCAAAATCCCGCGAACTTCAGGGCCCGCCCCACCCTCGTGTTGCAAAAGAAAGCGCCACAGGCGCCGTGCTCAGGCGGACCCAACATCCCCGCGTTGGCTCCGCAGGGAAGGGCTGCTCCAAATGTCCGAGCACAACGGGGCACATGGTTTCAAGCCCTAAACCCTAAACCCTAAACCCTAAACCCCAAGAGAGACCAAGGCTCACTCGGAGCTGCATCTCACCGTTCACCATGTGCTCATGGTCAACGCACAGATCCTCGATCTTCTGCATCTGCTCTGGCAGCAGCCTTGCCAAGAGCAAAAGCTGAGGGGTTTAGGTTTTAGGGTTTAGGGTTTAGGGTTTAGGGTTTAGGGTTCAGGGTTTAGGGTTCAGGGTTTGAGGATCAACATGTCTCCACATTCCGCTTGGCTACCTGCATGTTTCTCTATAGTGCTTGGGCAAGGCGTGCCTTAGCCACTGATGACAACTGGACGCTTGCAAGTAAAAGCAGGTGGGTGCGAATGCACTGTACTTTCTCAGTTGCGCTGTATAGCCAGAACTGCCCAGCACAGAACAAGCCATTTCTACAGTCCCCAATCTCGCCCTGACAGGGCCATCTATACCTGAAACCCTGAACCCTAAACCCTAAATCCTGGGCCCTGAACGCTGAACCCTAAGCCCTAAACCCTTAACCCTAAACCCCAAACCCTAAATCCTAACCCTGAACCCTAAACCCAGCATCTCGGGATCACATACAATGGCGAGCAGCCGAGCCAGGTGGCACTCGCGACCTCTCCACAGCAGTGTTTGCACTTAGGGTCTGCCAATTTGGGTTTAGGGTTTAGGGCTAGGGGTTTAGGGTTTAGGGCTTAGGGTTTAGGGTTTAGCGTTTAGCGTTTAGGGTTTAGCGTTTAGGGTTTAGGGTTCAGGGTTTAGGGTTTAGGGTTTAGGGTTTAGGGTTTAGGGCTTAGGGTGGGACATACAACGGAAGGTGAGACAGATACAGCAACAAAGAAGGAAGTAAAGTTAGAAGTTCAGAGGTGCACAATGCTATTGTGCAACAAAGCCACCCAATGCCAAGAACTCATCGAGTGTCACGTCCTTCTGGTTGACTTCCTCCCGTCAAAACCGCTGCTCGGCGCAGAAGGCTGCGCGGTAACCCGCACACACACACACACACACACACACACCCACACCCACACGCACACGCACACGCACACGCACACGCACACGCACACGCACACGCACACGCACACGCACACGCACACGCACACGCACACGCACACGCACACGCACACGCCGCACACGCACACGCACACACGCACCATGCTTTGCAAGAACCATCTGCCCTCTCCTCAGGCAAGATGTGGAAGATGCCGACCTTATTCCCGCTCAAACCCGGACAGTAGGGGAGGAGCGCAAGCGCATTTACGACGCAGCTCATAGGCAAGCCTTTCCCAGAGGCCCAGACCGAACCCATCTACGATCATGTCCCACTTGTCTGCTTCAAGCTTGCAATCATCATGGGTTCCCCTAGGTTCCCCCCCCCCCCCGAATTAGGGCTATTCAGGGATAATTAAGCCTAACTAGGTTATTCAAGGGGGGAACCTCGGCGGGGTAGTACAAAGGGGAACCCATGAAAATTATGAGCTCCAGATGCTGCCAGCACACGTACATAAGGGCATCAATCACGCGACTGGCAGGCACGATGATCTTGCCCTGACAGGTTGCAGGGAAAGACATGTGGGCACTTCCCAAAATAGGGGTGCCCCTGTTATACCCCAAATAGAATAGAATCCCCTTAAGGGAACCCCTAAACAGGCTACCCCCTACTTTCGGAAACCCTAAACCCTAAACCCTAAACCCCAAACCCCAACCCCTAAACCCTAAACCCTCCCACATGTCTCCGGAACCCTAAACCCTAAACCCTAAACCCCAAACCCCAAACCCTAAACCCTAAACCCTAAACCCTCCCACATGTCTCCGGAGAAGGTGCAACTCCGCGGGGCACACGGGAGGGCCTGCGAATCTCCAGTCGTGTCGGTCTTTTCCGCGAAGGTGAAATAGGCGAGGCGCAGGTCTTCGCTTAAAATCCTCGGCGCATTGAGGGTTTTAGGTTTGTGGTTTAGGGTTTAGGGTTTAGGGTTTGGGGTTTAGGGTTTAGGGTTTGAGGTTTAGGGTTTTGGGTTCAGGAAGTACTACTGGCAGCTACCATGCGCGCCTGCGGAGAATGGGGTGGAATGAAAGGAACCAGGACATGCCATCGTCCTGCTCTCGCGGCTCTCGCCGCCTACGAGGATTCCTCTCGTTGCTTCTTCAATCTTGCTCTGGGAGGTGACAGATCGGTGACCTGAAGCCTACATTATCAGAGCGAGGTGAAAGGCCGAAGCGCTTGGGCAGGTCTGGAAGGTAGCCAGGATCTCCGGTTTTCCTGTCAAGCTCAGGGTCCCAAATCCGAAGCCCGGATGTTCCCAGACCACCTTGACAGAAGCACTCTAAACCCTAAACCCCTAAACCCCTAAACCCCTAAACCCTAAACCCTTAAACCCTAAACCCTAAACCCTAAACCCCCGCAGACATCCTTTCAACGTGTTGGGGGCTCACCCTCGAAAGGAGCCTCGGGCTGCTCAGAATGGCTCAGCTCTTGGGGCTTTGGGGATCAAGAGCTTCGTTTAGTAGCCGCCCCACGCTTCTTCCAGCTTCTTGTTTAGGGTTTAGGGCTTTAGGGTTTAGGGTCTAGGGTCTAGGGTTCAGGGTTTAGGGTTTAGGGTTTAGGGTTGAGGGTTTAGGGTTAAGGGTTAAGGGTTAAGGGTTTAGGGTTTAGGGTTTAAGGTTTAGGGTTTAGGGTTTAGGGTTTAGGGTTTAGGGTTTAGGGTTTAGGGTTTAGGGGTTAGGGGTTAGGGGTTAGAGTTTACCTCCGCCCACCCTTCTCCCCTATCCAGGGCCTGAAGAAGCCCTGCTCACCCAGCGCCCGGGCGAAGTGCACCTCCATAATCCTGGCTTCGGAGCTTCTTCTTAGGGTTTAGGGTTTAGGGTTTAGGGTTTAGGGTTTAGGGTTTAGGGTTTAGGGTTTAGGGTTTAGGGTTTAGGGTTGAGGGCTTAGGGGGAGGTTTTGGGGTTTTGGGGCTAGGGTTTAGGGGTTAGGGGTTACAGGGTTACAGGGTTCAGGGGTTTAGGGTTTAGGGGGTTCAGGGTTTAGGGTTTCGGGTTTAGGGTTTCCTTGAGCCCTGACTTCCTTGAATTTTCGGGTTTAGGGTTTAGGGTTTAGGGTTTAGGGTTTAGGTTTAGGGTTTAGGGCTTAGGGCTTAGGGCTTAGGGCTTAGGGTTTAGGGTTTAGGGTTTGGGGTTTGGGGTTTGGGGTTTAGGGTTTAGGGTTTAGGGTTTAGGGTTTAGGGTTTAGGGTTTAGGGTTTAGGGTTTAGGGTTTAGGGTTTAGGGTTTAGGGTTTAGGGCTTAGGGTTTAGGGTTTAGGGTTTAGGGTTTAGGGTGAATTTTCGCAGCTCCGGTCCTTGTCTGAAGCTGGGGCAGCTTCTTCAGCTCCTCGCGTTCGAATGTTTCCTTGGTGCACCATTTTCAGAGACGAAACGTTGGAGCTCCTTCCATCCACGCCCGCTGATCCCCTAAACCCTAAACCCTATAAACCCTATAAACCCTACAAACCCTATAAACCCTAAACCCTAAACCCTAAATCCTAACCCCCCGCCCCCCCCCCCCCCCCCCAAAAAAAAAAAAAATAAAAAAGGCCAGGAGACTCCCAAGTCGATGGGGGTGCAGAGCACGGACTTGTTGAAGCGCGTGACGCCCTTGGACTGGTAGACGTACGAGCCTAGGACGGCCAGTAAGGGTTTAGGGTTTAGGGTCTAGGGTTTGGGGTTTAGGCTTTAGGGTTTAGTGTTTAGGGTTTCGGGTTCAGGGTTTAGGGTTTAGGGTTTACACTCTGAAAATACTCCTAAATGTTATCCTCCTAAACCCAATAAGCTAAAATGTTCCTAAAAACTATCCTCTTAGACCCAATGAAAGAAAAAATGTACCAAGGGCCTACCACTAAACCCTAAACCCTAAACCCTAGAACCTAAACCCTAAACCCTAAACCCTAAACCCTAAACCCTAAACCCTAAACCCTAAACCCTAAACCCTAAACCCTAAACCCTAAACCCTACCTAGGAGCCGATGGAGGCGTTGGAGGTGTAGGTGGTCGGGGGGAGCAGCTCATCCTCGGGGTTCTCGTCTGGGATCATCAGCTCCTCCGTCAGGGGTTCGGAGAGTGCCCTTCTAAAGGAGGGGGGGGGAGAGTTTAGGGTGGTTTGGGGTTTTGGGTTTAGTTAGGGTTTGGGGTTTGGGTTTTAGGGATTGGGGATTCGGGATCAGGGTTTAGGCACCTGACCGCCCGCTAACCCAAAAAAGTGTGGCGCAGATAGCCCTTCATCGCCTATGCCGATTTGGTCATGAGGGTGGGGATAGCACAAGATCGCTGATCACAACGCGCCTCCTCCTCGGAGTCTTCCTCCTCCGCAACGGCCTCGATTTCTGACGCGGACACCTTGTGCCACCAACGCTGGACAGTGCCAAGCAATTAAATCAGCATAGAATAGTTTACGTTCTATATTTTTTTCAGGGTTTTAGCTCTTTTTGTTCAGGGTGTTTTTGGGCAGCTCCGTTCCGGAGCGCTGACCCCATTCAGGGCTCAAGGCTCAACTGATTCGGAGGACGGTCCACATCCAGAGACGCACAGGAAGCTTGGCTGGGTAAGCTGGCGCTCATCATGCAGGGTTTTTTCATAGGAACAGCTGGAACACGCAGGGGAGATTGAGTGTCAGAGCGCCAGCATTTCGGGCATAAAAGGGCTCAGGAGTTATCATGCTTGTTATTCCAAAAAACTCTGATGACCATATTCATGAAAATCGTACTATCACTTCTAGAACTGACACGAGGCTGTCTGAGTTGCGCCCTTGGGTTTAGGGTTTAGGGTTTAGGGTTTAGGGTTTAGGGTTTAGGGTTTAGGGTTTAGGGTTTAGGGTTTAGGGTTTAGGGTTTAGGGTTTAGGACTCCCTGCCTCGCGTCTCATCAGCCCCTCGGTGTCGATGTCATCCATGCTCAACTCGGAGGGCCTTCGCAACTTCTCCTCGGGATGGGATGTGGGTTTAGGGTTTAGGGTTTAGGGGTTTAGGGTTTAGGGTTTAGGGTTTAGGGTTTAGGGGTTTGGGGTTTAGGGTTTAGGGTTTAGGGTTTAGGGGTTTAGGTTTAGGGTTTAGGGTTTAGGGTCCAGGGTCCAGGGTCCAGGGTCCAGGGTTTAGGGTGAAAGCTGGGCGTAAGGAGGGCACCGGATCTCGGTGGAAGTGATGCTCTCCCTGCTGTCGCATCACGGCCTCCGCTCAAGGCTAAGGCTGCAGCTTTCTTAATAATTATTGTTGCTGTAATAGCAATAAAAGCAACGGTAATAACTTGAAGAACAGAACGAACTAGAAGAACTGTAAATCACTCTAAGAACTAACTATGAACTATAACAACTATAGTAACTATGATAGCCTATGATAACTATAGCCACTCGAATAACTACAACAACTATAATAACTATAAGAACTGAAACGATTACACAAACTACGATAACTATCAAAAAAAATATAACAATTGTACAGTGATCCTTTTGGTAGCTCCTTTTGATCCACCCTTGGACCCTTCGCGCGGATCACTTCAGGCAACAGTTCCCTGGGGCTGTGCCGGCCTTCGAGATCTCCATCATCATCAGCGGATGCTCGTTCGTCATCTTCCACCACTGCTCCTCCGTCCAGAACAAGACCTGTCCAATGAACAGATATGATATAATGATATAATGATATAATGGTAAAATGATATAATGATATAATGATATAATGATATACTGAGTAATGATCTAATGATATACTGATATGCCGATCTAATGGTATAACCATATAAGGACAGAATGGCATAATGACATAGCATTCGGCAGCGACGGCGGGCAGTCTTGTGCTCCTCCAAACCCCAAAGCCCTGACACCCAAGCACCGACTATTACCCATACTGCTGGGAGAATCCAACAAGTAGATCCCCATAAGAGTTCCGAAGCATGACCCAGTAGTAGTATAGGATACGATTTGGGTTCTACTTGTTGGAATCCTCCCAGGGGTCTGGGTAGCCACCTTCCTTCAAAACCCTGCCTCCCCATCCTCCACGGCCAGGGCGTAGCTGGAAGAAGGCTGGCCAAAAATGGTCTTCTCGTTCACGAACCATCCCTGCCTAGTGCACCATGCCGGGTTCTGAGGCGAGGGGGTCCAGAAATCCTCGACCCTGGCCCCGAACGTTGCGAAATCCCACAGCCGAACTCAAGGTTTTGGGTTTTAGGGCTTCGGCTTCCACCCGAAGGCTAGAAGAGGAGGAGCGTCTGGAACTTCGAGCCGAGGGGGGTCTCAGGTTTTCCTGAGCGTCCCCCTGAAAATCCGAACCAGCTCCGACCTACCCAAAATCCTAAACGCCCGAAACCCCAAACCCTAAACCCCAAACCCTAAACAACAAACCCTAAACCCCAACTAAACCCTCCTAAACCCCAAACCCTAAACCCCACACCCTAACCCTAAACCCTAAACCCTAACCCTAAACAGAAGAGAGGCCTCAGGATGACTCGCGGCTTCTTCCAGGATGCGTGAGCGTCCTGCGCCAGAAAGATGCCTCCCCCGCTTCCCAGGAAAATCAACCGCTACCTAGGGTTTAGGGTTTAGGGTTTAGGGTTTAGGGTTTAGGGTTTAGGGTCTAGGGTCTGGGGTTTAGGGTTTAGGGTTCTGGGTTTGGGGGCTACGGTTTAGGGTTTGGGGTAGACTATTGGGACCGAATGGACTGGAATACGCAAGACATGTTTCGATAAGGCAGGCTGCCTGATGAACCTGACAAGAGACACGGTCTCGACCAAGCTCTACTAATCTGATATAAGCCTGTAAGAAGGCCACAACATACTTCCAGGCAGCTGGCCAAAACTTGCCAAAACTAAAGTTCCAACATACACCCACCGAGACCCCTGAAAGCCCGTCTGTTTACAGCTGGCAGCTGACCATCGCAGCTGCCGTTAGATTCCCCACTCCCCTAAGCCCTAAACCCTAAACCCTAAACCCCTAACCCCACACCCTAAACCCTAAACCCCCCCCCCCCCCCCCCACCACCCCCGCGTTTCCGCACATCGGTCCATGATCTGATCGGAATCGGGAACTTCATCCAGGATGGCGATGGCACCAGAGTGAATCAAGTAAAGCGGTCGGTGCTGGTCGCCCGGCACACACAGCATGGTCTTGAAACCTGGAGCCGGGAGGTGTCAGGCTCTCTTTGGTCATTTTCTATATATATATATATATAGACAGATATATATATATATACATAGATAGATATATAGATTTTTGAGATTTTTTAGATACATAGATATATAGATATATAGATATATAGATATATAGATATATAGATATATAGATATATAGATATATAGATATATAGATATATAGAGATATAGATATATAGATATATAGATATATAGATATATAGATATATAGATATATAGATATATAGATATATAGATATATAGATATGGATATATATATGTATATAGATATATATAGATATATAGCTATATAGATATATAGATATATATATATATGTATATAGATATATATATATATAGATATATAGATATATCGATATATAGATATATAGATATATAGATATATGGATATATGGATATATGGATATATAGATATACAGATAGATAGATATAGATATATATATATACACATACATATATACATATATGCATATATATATTATACAATATGCACACATATATATATATATATATATGTACACACGTACTATCTTTCTACGAAATGAACTTCTTAGGAACGCTCGGAATAGAACCGGCACTGGGAGGCTGGGAGCAACGTTGCACTGCAGCTTTTGTGGGGATCTCAAGAAGGATGAATTTTGGGGGGGGGGTATGTTAAGGGACCCCAGTTTGGGAACCACGTGTGGGACCTTCCGACTTGATTCAACAGCTGCTGGTGGCTTCCGGTGTAAGGGTTGCTGGGGAGGAGCTGACGATACTAGCTCTGCCAAAATCAATGTCGCCGACTACACTCTGGTCAGTTCTGGTCGATGGGCAGGTATGACCCACGAAGCCAAATACCTCGTAGTTAGGGAAGATGGGGTTTAGGGTTTAGGGTTTAGGGTCTAAGGTTCCCCAGTGTCAAAAGGCACAAATATTCCTTCAGAATCTCCAGGGGGCATGATTTTAAGGGACCTGCCCAGGCGCCTTTGATTGGCAAACGGCTGCAGTACCGCCACGGGCAGCCCATACGGGCACCGTCGGACAAGAAGACCTCCCTGGCCACGGAACGATGTCAAGACAGAGCTCTAGCTGGGTTTTTGTAAGTAGTTCTCTGTGTTGAGGTCCCTTTATGGAGTCCCCCTATAGAATACGATAACAGAGAGCCCACTCTCATCTAGAGAATGTAGCGTCAACACCATCTCTACAAACTCGAGGCACCGGTGGTTCGACTTCACCTGCTGGCCCATTGCGCACTGCCCTCATCCCGCTCTTGCTGCAAAGCACACTCCAAACCGCCACAGGCCTTCACCCTAGTAACCCCGCTTGGCGCAAGTGGTACCCCGAACCTTATCCCGAAACCCTAAACCCTAAACCCTAAACCCTAAACCCTAAACCCTAAACCCTAAACCCTAAACCCTAAACCCTAAAACCCTAAAACCCTAAAACCCTAAACCTCTTGTGTTTTTGGGTCCAGGACATGCCCCCGCTCCTAAATGGCTCGAAGTTCACCCGCTGCAGCATCAGCGCCCTGTCTCGCCGGAAAGCCTCGGTCAAAGAGAGGGGTTTGGTGTTTAGGGTTTAAGGTTTAGGGATTAGGGATTAGGGATTAGGGTTTAGGGTTTAGGGTTTAGGGTTTAGGGCTTGAGCTTCGGGTCTAGGGTCTAGGGTGAAGGGATACACAGGCGTATTTCACGCCATATTGTCTTCACGGAACAAGGTTTACATCCAACACAACAGAGTACAATACAATATGATACAAGCCAATACGCCCTCACTGTATAGAAAAGTACGATGTACTATACCATGCATATGTTTCCATATATATTATATATATATATTTTTTTCATATATTATAACATATAAATATGTTGTTTCCCAAAACCTCCTAGACCCCAAACCTTCAGGCGTGCGGGAGACGGGGTGGAGGTTCAACCACTCATCCTGCTGGTTCATCTTGTACTTCAGAATGCGCTTCTCCAGGTGGGTCATCGCCTGAGTCGATTAGGGTTTAGGGTTTAGGGTTTAGGGTTTGGGGTTTAGGGTTTGGGGTTTAGGGTTTGGGGTTTAGGGTCTGGGGTTTAGGGTTTAGGGCTCTGAAGCACAGGCTTTGTGGTGTTTGGGTTGCATGATCCCTCCCAAGAACCCTCAACCCTGAAACCCGATGCCTCCCCAAATCGATTCCGGGCCCCCTGTACACGTCTGAGCACCAACCAGAAGAGGTAACTCAAGCAGGGGCAGATGTTGGGTTCGGGGCTTAGAAACGTTTCTCTTTCAAACGACATATTCAAGAAAGCCTAACGATCCAGATTCCAAGCTTTGCCTATCGCGCAATGAATGTCTAGGGCCCGGTGGACTAAAACTAGCAAGGTTCCAAAAGTAGTCGATAGCGAGGGCGCATGCCCATGTCGCATCTTACCCCAAATGAGTAGTGGGACACCGGCAGGCTCTCTCATTCCTTGCGTTTAACAACATGGCTTCGCTTGTGGCAATTCGCCGGGCCCTTTCATTCGTGGCTAAGAAGAGAAATGCAGACTTCTTTCTTGTGCACCACTGAGATTGCCCAAAGCTATCGTAAATCTTTCCACGATGAGGAGCTTCCTTGCCCGGGGTAGCTGTCCTCTATTATTTTCTCACCGCTCCGCGCACATTTTCCAGGAGCTGTCCTTCTTTCGAGAATCCCACACCCAACAACATAAAAAGAATCCAAAACAAATCCCGGGACTCTTGCCATTTATTTGTGTCGTTTGGTTGGGTTTTGTGTGCACATCTCCAAAAGGCTTGAGCTTCACAGAAAAGGAGCACCACGTGGGAAGTGCTAGCGATGGGAATGCTGCAACGCAAGCAATTAGGGTTTAGGGTTCAGGGTTTAGGGTAGAGGGTATAGGGTTTAGGGTATAGGGTAGTATAGGGTTTAGGGTTTAGGGTTTAGGGTTTAGGGTTTAGGGTTTACAGTTTGGGGTTTGGGGTTTAAGGTTTAGGGTTTAGCGTTTAAGGCCGCGACATTGTCCAAGTCTTCGAAGCGATCCTCCATGGACTGTAGGATGTGTCGCACCCGCAGCTCCTCTACGCTTTAGAGTTTAGGGTTCAGGGCTTAAGGTTTAGGGTTTAGGGTTAGGGTTTAGGGTTTCGGGTTTAGGGTTTCGGGTTTAGGGTTTAGGGGTTGAGGGTTTAGAGGTTGAGGGTTGAGGGGTTGAGGGTTTTAGGGTTGGGGTTTAGGTTTCTGCTCTACTAAGTTGGGAATGTGCTATAAGAAACATCGGGCACTGAGGCATTTAGGGCTTAACGGTTTAAGGTTTTGGAGCATTGGGGCTTAGGCTTTAGGATGCTCATGTTGGCGACTTAAGACACATTGGCAGTGTATAGAATATTCGTTTTTATATCATGGGCGTCCAGGATGCGAAGTAGGGTTTATATTTCTTGTACCCCCAAATGAACACCCAGAATATACCAATAGTAAAAAGGAACCTTATATACACTCACCAATAACAGTAATATAAACCCTACTTCATGTAAGGTTTGGGATTCAGGGTCGATAGTCATCCGTTCCTTCGAGCTACGCAGAAGCAGGGTCTAATCAATCAACTTCCAAAACCCCAAACCCTAAACCCCAAACACCAAACCCTAAACCCTAAACCCTAAACCTCAAACCCTCAAGAAGAGGCGAAGGATAAGAGAAGAGCTAAGATGCCATGGCAGTACGCCAGCGAGAAGTGGAGCAAGAGCTTACATGCTTAAAACACTGCCTCTCGCGACCCCAAACCCTCAACCCGAAACCCGAAACCCCAAACCCTAAACCCGAAATCCCAAACCCTAAAACCCAAACCCTAAACCCCAAACCCTAAACCCTACCGCAGTCGGCTTAAGGCTGGAGCCTCGGCCAGGTCATCCTTGATGTCGCACCAGATAACACGGATCCCACGCTGCTTCGCCTGAAGTGGGTTTAGGGTTTAGGGTTTAGGGTTTAGGGTTTAGGGTTTGGGGTTTAGGGTTTAGGGTTTAGGGTTTAGGGTTTAGGGTTTAGGGTTACTTGAGGTTATCTAGGGTTTAGGGTTATTTAAGGTTTTGGGGTAGGGTTTAGGTTTGTTTAGGGTTTGGGGTTTAGGGTTATTTAGCGTTTGGGGTTTGGGGTTATTTAGGGTTTGGGGTCATTGAGGGTTTAGGGGTATTAAGGGTTTGGGGGGTCCTCTTTCATTGGCGCGGACATTTCGAGTGTTCACACTATGCAAGGATGATGAGGGAATCATACACGGAACGGAAGATCTACTGGCCTTTCTTGGCCTCAGGGAGATTCTCAATGTATTCAGATGGCCGTTTAACTCGTGACCTCTGCCTGGCTCTTCTGGCTGGTTCTAAAGTAGGGAATGAGGGAATGAGGGGCCTATATATACCCTTTAAGGGATTATATAGGGCCCTCATTCCTCATTCCCTGCTAAGAACCAGGGGGTCTTGTCTGTTTGAGAGTTTGCGGGGGGCAAGCATATTGCGTTGGAGTTGACAGGTTCAGGTTCGGATCTTCCTCCTGATACAAAGAGTCCTTCATAGGGATGAGAGTACTCCCTATGAGATTCCCTCTTAAGGACTGTGAGTACAAGGGGGAACATCCCAAGGTTTAGGGAGACTTCCAGCCTTGCGGGTCAACTTTGCCATACTCATCGCTCCAGAGGCGTCCATTCCTCTGCAGCATGCAAGAGAACCTAAGACCTCAAGCCACCTGTCAGAACAATATGCTTCAGCCCCAAACCCTAAACCCTAAGAAAGACCTCAAACCCAAAAAACAACTAAAATCCTAAAACTCCAAAACACCTAAAACCCCAAAACCCGATTCACAAGCAAGTTCATCCCCAGCTCCCCCACGGGAAATCTTCGTCACAAGTGATGGTAGCGACATGGAAAGTGGCGAAGACATGATGGCCAGGTTGGTCGACTGTGCTACCCAGGGAGCCTCAAAGATTGCAGGGCTCAGAACCTTCTCGAAATGAGCTGAAGCTGTTTCCCGCTTTTGGGGGGCTGTTCAAAATCAGAGGCGCCTCTCTTCTTTAGAGAACCTGAGATTCTGTCTTGCGGGAAAGCCGTATCTCTTCAGGCCCGGGGCCCGTGGAGAATCCACAAATTGTCCTTCCCGGCCGGGGTGCCATGAGCTGTGAGTCGTTCTGGTGGACGGCAGCAAGCGCGCAAAATGAACATCCCACCCTCTTCTCAAGCTTATATAATTGACACTGTAATGTCCTGCAAGACCATTTGGCTTCCTTGTTTGAACCATTTGGGAGAGGGGATGATGTGCCACTTGGTGTCCGTCCAGTGCCGAGCCGTCGAAGATCAGGAACTTGAGCCTTCTGTAGGCAGGCACCTCAGAGAGGGATGCCCATCTTGGGTCGGTCTCTACTACGGTCCGATTGAAGCCGAAAGTAGCTGACACAAAGGGATGCTCAACTTTCGAAGATCCGGCCTGGGAAGTTTTTCAAGTCGATGGTACCCCTTTCACTCCTACACCCCGATCACAACTGGAGTAAGACCCTCGCAACGCTGTCCAGGGTTTAGGGTTTAGGGTTTAGGGTTTAGGGTTTACGGGTTTAGGGTTTAGGGTTTAGGGTTCAGGGTTTAGGGTTTAGGGTTTAGGGTTTAGGGTTTAGGGTTTAGGGTTTAGGGTTTAGGGGCACCTTGTTCTCGTCCTCCTTTTGGAAGTACGTCTCCACGGAGCGCATGACGGCCACGCAGGAGCTGAAGAAGACGTAGCCCTTTAGGTTCACAATCCTTGTCAACGGAGCTTATGCCGCAGGGCAAGCCGGGAATCCCTAAACCCTAAACCCTAAACCCTAAACCCTAAACCCTAAACCCTAAACCCGAAACCCTAAACCCTCACAGTTTCGGGGGCGTCGGCGGTTCAGGAAGATCGTGTTGCCTGTGGCATTCTAGCTCTGTGCAGCCCGCGCGCAGGATCCATGCGGAAGCGATGTGCATGAAGCTCTGGTGACCGACCTCGGCCAGGATATATGATGGGGGAGTAACTGACAGCCTGATTTGGGGGTTTCCGAAATTAGGGGTACCTTATTGGGGTCCTTATAAAAAGGAAATCCTACTAGGGTCCCCTATTTTCGTAAACCGCAATTTCTCAAATTCTCAAACCTGTGCACCTGACCCGCTCATGCTGTCACTCTCGCCCCCTCTCCCGCAGGTCACCTCGCCCACTGGACGCTCGCGCGTGGTCACCTGCAGAAGGCATAGGTGTGCACTCACGAGTATTGAGGAGAGCCCTACAATCACCAACGAGAGTAATAACCCCCATTCTGTTCGGGCTGAGGAGTAAGAACAAGGAGCACACTGAGCCAACTCCTCCGATATGGCCCCTGGCCTGGTCACCTCGCTTGGGCTTACCATCCATGGAGGGCACCCGGGCGTACCTCGGCGACTTTCGGCTTAGTATGGTGGGCTTAGTTTAGGGATGTTCATGGCCCCTAGTTGCCCAAACAGGTCTTGAGGAGGGCTTCTACCAGCAAGTTCGTGGAAAGGGCTTGCCTACGCCTTCGGTGCGCCCGCGGCGGCTGCACACCTCTCGTTTGGAGCCCGTTTGTGTGGGCACTGCAAAATCGCGCTCACGCCAGAGGTCCCATTGTATTTTGCTGCGCTTTCGCTGGACGCCTTTGCTGCACACGTGAATTCTCCTAACTCCTTTGGCATGTTTCTCTGCTCTTAGCCGTCTTAGCCAGTCTTTGGGGGGCACGCCCGCATAGCCCTGTAGGTTCAAAGGCCACGCCCGAGCCCTAAGCCGAAAAGAGCTGAACCGGCTTTGGCTCAGGAAAACCGATCCTGTGGGTGCCGCAACCTCTGGGATTGTGTAGCGCTTGGTGTTTCAGAAAGATCTGCAAGTGCACCCCCAATGCCCCCACAGCATGTGTACGACGAAACGCGGCAGCCAGAAGCCAGAAACATGTCCAATCGGCAACACGCGTGCTCACTCGGAAGCTTCAGCCAGGCAGCTTGGCGATGAAGGCAAGTCCGGAAAGAACCCTGGGAGCACAAAACTAGGATCAGGATGCCTACTGTTCCTTCGCCCATACCTGCTATAGCCTGCCAACCAACCAGGCACAATTTGGGGCGGTTTCCAAGTTTCCAAACTCTTCATGTGTGCTGTCCCTAAAAGACATGAAATGTGGGTTAGGCAAAGATCTGAGCGCCAAGCCCTTCATCCATTGCTAAGGGTTTCAGGGCTACGTGGAATGGCGCCACTTCATGCAACTGCGCCGCAATCCAGCAACCACCGCCCAGATGAGCTGGCCCGCCGCGATGAACACGATCAGGATCACAACCTCACGATGCTCGGGTAGCCCAAACGCAGACCGCAGCTCTTCTCAACACACCCCCGGGAAAGCACGCTCAACAAGGACAGTAAGCCCCACAACACCTCATGCCAAGACACGATTTCCAGCCACTCGCTGAAGTGCAGGAACTTTCGGGAGCCCCACATGTTGTCAGTGACAAAGCCGGCACCCGCAAAGAACAGAAGTGCACTCAGGAACCTTGGGGGGCACCAAGGGACATAAGGCAGCACTCCGCAAATGGCCCCGGGGGCCTTTGTAGATTGCAAGAGTCAAGTTAAGACCCAACCCAAAACGTGCTGTCACAGGGATGCCACAACCAAAGCTCTTCATGGCAACTGGTGCCTTCGGCCTTGAGCCCCCCAATAAACCCTAAACCCCTTGGGGGGGGGGGGGTGGGGCTGCGGCTCTCGGGGCTACTGGATGCTTCGGCACATGCACAGGCCAAGCAGCAGCTTGGGAAGGTAGTTGAAGTGTTCCACCGTGCTGAAGTAGGCTGCGCCGCAGAACCTACAGTAAGCGCCCTAGTTCTTCAGCAAGAATGCGGGAATGTTGTCCCCCTTATTTAGCCCATCAGGGGATTGCTACCTGATTCCCAAAATGCACTACTAAAACAAGTAAGTGTGGCTGTGTGCTCGAACCGCTTGTACGAGTGATTTAGGAGTTTCCAGAATTATTAGCCACCCTTTATGGCCCGGATGCAGCACAACTCCGCGTAAAAGCACCCCAAAAGGACCCCAAATTCTTGGAAACCCCATAACCAGAGCCTCGAGCATTTACTTTGCAGGACGTGAACAGGATTTAAGATTTTGGGGCTTCCGGTTTGTCCTGGGTTTCCCTACTACCCCCCTCTACACTACTCTAGGTTTCCCCCTTAAAAAACCTTATTTCGGCCTGATTATCCCTAAATGGCCTTAGATATCGGGGAATCCAAGGGGGCTAGCATAAGTAGCAGGGGAACCCATGAGTAGGGGGAGTGGCAGGATTCTTGCTACAGTTCAGGACCGGCTACGCTGCATCTGCGGGCTCAGGTCGGCACAAGGCGTAAATCATCCCGGCCCTGCGGTCATGCGCATTTCGCATGACTCCGTAGCCTGAGCACAGAGAGAGGTGTAAGGTCCGTGGTTTGGGTTTGGGCCTTAGAGTTCAGGGTTTAAGAGTTAGAGTTGAGGGGCGTAGCACCACTCTTCTACTATGCCACAGGCCTAAAGCGCGGCATAGATATATCTCGAAGAAAAGGCCTACGCCCCACTCAAAAGGTCATTTCAGGAGAGCTTTAGGGTTTGGAGTTTATGGATCGGAACGGCCCTTTGCTTGGGATGCCATAGACGGGAGACTGATGACATTGAACTTCAGCTGCATATAGCCGGTTGCAGAGCCAAAGCAGGCCAGAAGGTAGTTGAAGATGCCGAATTTGAGCGCTTCATCATCTGTGGACACCTTCCTGAGGAGGATCCAGGATCCCCAAAACACATTGCTGCACTGCAGCGCGCAGTCCTATAGTTGTCATAGCTCAGTCCGCACGTGCGCTGCACAGGTAGAGACTCCTTCTGCGCATGTGCGATATCGCTTATCAGATACGAGTCGGTAGCTATAGTCCCCTCGTCTCTCGGTTCCGGCTACTGCAACAAACAGAGGCAACGAACACGTGAATAGGTCGAAAACTATGCAAACGTTCCACATGCCTATATGGCCAGATACGCATGAAGGCAAGTTGCAATGGAAGCTTGCTTTCAGTGGCGTGGAGTTTGAGGACGCAGTCCTCAGATGAAACCGACGAGTGCTCAACACACGTCAATCTGCCAAGAAGCAAAGATGCCTTTCTGAGCTCCTGTGGAGACAGACGAAGCTACATCTTACCTGGATCGCCATTGTTCTCCCAACACATCTCCTGTCGCCACCCAGCCTATCCTCATGACTATGCTGATTCCTAAACCCTATACCCTAAACCCTAAACCCTGAACCCTAAACCCTAAACCTTAAATCCCAAACCCTAAACCCTATATGGAGTCTCAGGGTCCATAGTCGACACGACCAACATCACTGCAAGATTGGGCAGCGTTGCCACCCAAGCACTGAAGTTGATGTTCGCCACGGACCTGAGATCTTGGCCAGGATGGCTCTTAAAGCCCCCTCAAAAGTATTCCGAAACATAATAATCCGTTTAAACCCAACGCTTAATCCTCTTAAACATGAACAGTCGTCCCTAAACCCCGAACCCCAAACCCTAAACGCCGAATCCTCGTCCCTAAACCCTAAACCTTCAACCCAAAACCCTAAACCTTAAACCCCAAACCCTAAACCCCAAACCCCAAACCCGAGGCCAGCAGACCCCAGGCTGTCCAGCCAGACGAGGTAGAAGGGCTCGTTCTTCACTTCAGGAAAGAGCCACCCTGCAACACCCAGATACTTCAAAGTAGGCGTGGGTTTAGGGTTTAGGTTTTAAGGTTTGGGGTTTAGGGTTTAGGGTTCAGGGTTTAGGGTTTAGGGTTTGGGTTTAGGGTAGGGTTTAGGGTTGAGGGTTTAGGGCTTCGGGCGGTTTACGGTTTAGGGTTCAGGTTTTAATTACAAGGTAACTCTACTGAGAGCCCGAATGAAGACCACCCATGAAGCGGACGTCATGGCGTGCAGTCCCAGCCTGCGTCTCGCACTGAGGCAGGGGTCTGGTCGGTCGCAACCGCGATCCTGAACTTAACCAGGAGGGGGTTTGGGGTTTAGGGTTTAGGGTTTAGGGTTTAGGGTTTAGGGTTTAGGGTTTAGGGTTTAGGGTTTAGGGTTTGCAGACTTCGCTTCTTGATGCCGTCGAGGCTCCCCCAGAAGATGGCCAAAGGCAACAGCAGCCCAAGAGGCATCATGATGGTGGGATTTCCGATGTGCAAAGCCTGTGCATGCAGTGCCGGACTGGACCCCAGATCCGAACGATATCGTAAGGTGCAAAGGATGAAGGTTGAGTCGGTTACAAGTGTCGGGATCGGGCCGAGGGTGTGTTGGGAACAGGGAGGGTGCGTGTTGGGAACTGGGCAGGCGTGAGTCAGGAACGCAGGGGGGGTGAGTCGGGAACAGGGCCCATGTGTACAGCACGCCCGGGGGTTGAGTTGGGCAGAATTGGGTTTCGGAGTGATGACCCTACTCTGCACTTTACGAGGCGAACACATCCGACGTGTCATGAACCCGCACACCAACACGCCGAATTGGTGTGCGGGTTCATGACACGTCGGATGTGTTCCCCTCGTAAAGTCTGCCCTTTGGAAGCTGAAAAGAAGACGGTAGACCCAACTCCAGGTCGTCGAAAGAGGCCGTAAAACAAACCTGCAGAGTAGGGTCATCACTCCGAAACCCAATTCTGGGGGGCAGCCGTTCCCAACTCAACCGGGGCGTGCTGTACACATGAGCCCTGTTCCCGACTCACCCCCCCTGCGTTCCCGACTCACGAATGCCCTGTTCCCAACACGCACCCCCCCTGTTCTCAACACGCGTGTGCCCAACACACCCCAGTTGCAACCAACACGACTAACATTCAAGGTGCAAATGCCGCCCCCCCCCCCTGCCAACTACAGAAAGTCTTCGAGATGCCACAACATTGCCAGTAACCCTCACAACCTGCAACAAGCACCACACAGGGCCACACAGGCACAGTCATCCAAAACAAGCGAAGCAGGGAACAAGCTGCAGTAGGGTGTCTCGCAGAGGCAAGTGCACTAAGTCTGCCTGCACATCTATGCACAGCGCAGCGTGCCTTGCAGAAGTAGAGTGCAATTCCGATAAAGGCAGCTGTGAAGAATTGTCGCGGGTCGAAGTCGCAGAACTTGATGGCATAGAAGAAGACCTTGTAGCCGACGCACGCCAAGAAGGCCTGCCAAGTGCCGCGGCCCCATCACAGAGCCCCCTTGGCCCCTTCCATGCTCATACCATCCCTACACCCTCACCCTAAACCCTAAACCCTAAACCCTAAACCCTAAACCCTGAACCCTGAACCCTGAACCCTAAACCCTGCCCACCCGTCCTCCGAGATGCTGTAGGGCATGTAGCTGACGTATCTCGTGAGCTTGAGCTTCCCGAGGACACTCCAGATGATGGCTGAAGGCAGGGCGAAGGTGGATTTGGGTGGGCAGGGGGGGGGGTTCAAGACTCAGGGTCCCTCCTGTGGAGGGGGCTTCTTATGAGAGCTTTCCCTTTCTGGGGCTACCTTATTGTTAGGAGTCCTGTGCGAGAAGGTATCTTCCTCGTACCCCTCCTAAACACCGGGGGAACCCGACGATGCACTGCACAATCTAAACCCTAAACCCTAAACCCTAAACCCTAAACCCTAAACCCTAAACCCTAAACCCTAAACCCTAAACCCTAAACCCAATGGCTGTGACCAAGCCACCCAGCAGCAGCGTCGAGAAGGCCACGGCAAAGATGGTGGTCGCGCGGAGCTGTGCATGGTACGACTCACACTCCTGGCATGGTCGAGCCATCCTAAAGCTGGGTTTAGGGTGTTTAGGGTTTAGGGTTTAGGGTTTAGGGTTTAGGGTTTAGGGTTTCGGGTTTCGGGTTTCGGGTTTAGGGTTTAGGGTTTAGGGTTTAGGGTTTAGGGTTAGTAAGGGTCTCTCCTTGGGACAGCAATGGGTCCCTAAGTCAGAACAGCCCCGTGTCACAACACAGCAAAGCATGTTGCACATCCCGTCCTGGGGGTTTGCCAGGAGATGGTCACCTTGCAGAGTCCAAAAAAAGGACCCGATAAGCACCATGACACAGTCAAAGTGTCCATGCTCGAGGGGCTGGGGGAAGTACTTGATCCTTGATCAAAGTGCACTTGGAGAAGTCAGACGACAGCCCCAGAGCCCACATCTACGAGCACTGGCAGCATCTGGCCGTCTATCAGTGACTAGTAGAAGCTTCACAAGCAAGAACACCCAAAGCTCCAGAAAGCCACGAACTACACTGCCACGTGCTCTAGTGCAAAGCGAAGATGCCCTTGCAGAAATACTTGGTGGGGTCGTTCTTCTTGAGCAGTCTGCCCGATGAACTTGAATAGCTCGCCTCGTCTGATCTGACTTGACTTGTGAGCCACGGGGCAAGCATTAAGGGGTATAAGGAGGGACCCCTAGAAGGGACCCTTAATCGTATTCCCCTATATAACCTCAATATATACCTTATGTAGTCCCTATATTCTGTTAGTCCCTTGAAAGTACCCTCACACGCCCTTGCAAAGTATGCAAGCCCCTGCCTGAGCAAGCTTTCGAGGGTGCATAATTTCAAGCAAACCGCCGCGTGCCACACAAGAACCGCTTGTCAAGGCAGCGTGCTTTACAAGAAGTCCGCTAGTCCCTGTGCCCGAGTCCAAATTTTGAAGTCCTAAAGCGATCCCAGGCGAATGCTTGGACAGCAGCATAGTCTCCAAGGACCAGTGATTTGGTGAGCTCCTGGCATGTGAATCAGGGCTCACTCAGGGTTTCGGGTTTTGCCTGTCCCGTTGTAGCACACACGCGTCCACACAGAGAGCGAGAGAGAGAGAGAGAGAGATAAAAAAAACAAAAAATGAAAAAATGAATGAATAAATAAATAAATAAATAAAGCGAGGGAGAGAGAGAGAGAGAGAGAGAGAGCGCAAGCTCAGCAGGCACGCTGACTTTGGGCGAAGACTGTTACCCTGTCCCGGAATCAAGCCAGAAATGCATCCGAGATGGTAATCACCCAGTCGCCATAGAACACGGCGGGGTTGAGATCCGTCCCACCGATAGCAACCGGAATGCCAGAAATGACCGACATCAGCCCTCCGCCGATAAAGGAAGCCCTGAGGCTGCGTGGCACACCATTGGGAACCCTACGTGAAGACACATCGGCATGCCGTGCTTCGATGCTTACGCCGCGTCTGCGCTGTAGAGAGCAACTGAGGCATGGGCGCCAGGCACATTTTCACGCCCAGAGCTCGATGCGCGGCATTCCGCTCCTCGCTGAAGATGATCATGCCGTAAGAGCAGCACATGCCAAACCTCAGATCACACATCGAAACCATCAGGAAGCCACCGTCTTCGCACTGCTTTTCGTAGCTGCGGTTTGGGTCATCCGACTCTTCGCTTTGAAAACGCCCGGGGGCATTAACATGTGGTTGATGAGCGCAGAGGCCAAAGCACCAGCAAAGGAGCCAACCTGGCACAAAGGATTGGAAGTAGGAATGTAGTACTGTTTTTGGTGAAGTGTGTATATTGTTTACTTGAATATCAATCTATTTATTTATTCATTTCTTTATTCATGCTTCTGGTGAGTGTTCGCATGAGGACACTAGCAATGAATACCCTAGTTGACGGTGCATCAGCGGTCACTCTTGTCATCGCTGGTGCAAGTCGCTCTCGCTCTCAGGCGGCAATGGTGTTGCCGTCGTTCACAGTAATGACACTTCGTTGCCCGGGATAGCACATCCTAAATCCTAAACCCTTCACCATACCCTATACTCACAATGAAGGACTGAGGAATTGATGAGGTCATGCTGCAAAGCAGCAGTTGTTGTAGCTCAGGACCCTTTTTAAGTCATAGACCTTTGTAAGAGCATGTCAACCCATGTGGAACGGTTGAGGGGATGGGGTTTGGGTGTTTTGGGCTTAAGCTGTAAGCCGCAGGCTGGCCCTAATGGGCTAGCCCCTGAGTCTAGGGCTGTAAGGGTTGGGTTTAGGGTTTAGGGTTTAGGGTTTAGGGTTTAGGGTTTAGGGTTTAGGGTTTAGGGTTTAGGGTTTAGGGTTTAGGGTTTAGGGTTTAGGGTTTAGGGTTTAGGGTTTAGGGTTTAGGGTTTAGGGTTTAGGGTTTAGGGTTTAGGGTTTAGGGTTTAGGGTTTAGGGTTTAGGGTTTAGGGTTTAGGGTTTAGGGTTTAGGGTTTAGGGTTTAGGGTTTAGGGTTTATTGTTTAGGGTTCAGGCTTTAGGGTTCAGGGGGCTGAAGCGACATTAGGGTTCAAGGTTAGGGGGCTGTTCCTGATGAAAAACTGCATCCAACGCGGGCAGGCCTTTGATTTGTTCAACTGCTCCGCATTCTGGTGATCCTGGGGCCAACTGCTCACCATATTAAGGCACTTTAGGGGCTTATAAGTGGGTTATAAGTACAGCTAGAGTACCCTAAACCCTAAACCTAAACTCTAAACCCTAAACCCTAAACCCTAAACCCTAAACCCTAAACCCTAAACCTAATAAGTACCATGAACCTCCAAGTAATTCAGGTCACCAGACCAGCGGTGCAGGATGCCAAGACATTTGCGCCCCGTCTCTTGAGCGCAGCTGGGACAGCCCGGCATGCGCTATAGGTGCACAAAGAGGTGGTTTAGGGTTTAGGGTTTAGGGTTTAGGGTTTAGGGTTTAGGGTTTAGGGTTTAGGGTTTAGGGCTTAGGGTTTCGGGTTTAGGGTTTAGGGTTTAGGGTTTAGGGTTTAGGGTTTAGGGTTTAGGGTTTAGGGTTTAGGGTTTAGGGTTTGGGGCCTGCACAGCAAAACCGGACAAATATAAGTCCTGGCCAGCTCCGACAGGCTCCATGAGCGAAAGCGGCCTGGGACGGCAACACAAGGTCAAGGCATTGGAATGCAGAAGGCAGTCAACGACTGCTTCCCCCTCGTAGCTGTCGTAACAATCGGAATGCACATGAGTAATGCTTTGCACGGCATTGCGAGTGTTGGCTGGCACTGAATGCACTCTCCTGTGCGCCAGACATGCTGCAGACCGTTGACATCTTCAGCTAAGCCACGAGATCATCCGCTTTAGGGCTCCAGTGTGGTGAGAGACTTGTTCGAGCGACTGCGCGAGATTTCGTGTGTCCTTCAAGAGGTCTGTTCAGCACCACTCTGGCTGAAACAGTGTTCGTGCACATTTGCAACTATTCAACTAAAGAATAGCCGTCTGCTGGGACCCGAATTTACGACAACCTCATCCATCAACAGGGCCCATCGAGCAGCCCAAAGCCACACCTGACGAACACAAACACCTGAGGAACACCAGACTTAGGGTTTGGTTTTAGGGTTTAGGGTTAGTTTAGGGTTTAGGGTTTAGGGTTTAGGGTTTAAGGTTTAGGGTTTAGGGTCTAGGGTCTAGGGTCTAGGGTCTAGGGTTTCGGGTTTTTGGCTTAGGGAGGTGTCCCGTCCTGGCCATGGATCAGCGTATGCAAGTGGGCGCTATCCTTGGCCAGCATAGGGTCCGACCGCAGCCACTCAGGCCGGAATCCTACTTCATCACCACCGTCACAGATGTCTACAACTAAAACCCCTAAACCCTAAAACCCTAAACCCTAAACCAAGTAACCATTCTAGCTGAGCCTCCGCCCTGGCAGCCAAGTCCTGGCTTTCACTCTTGTAGTCACCCTTCAGCGCCATGGCCCTTTGTAGGCCCTTGCCAGGCGTATGCCGGGAATAGCTGACTTGAAGACTACTAAGAAGCTGCTGGTAGTTCTGACGTCTCGTTCCTGAGGCTGAGAAGCTGGAACCGGGAAGGCAGCACAACTCAACGTCTCTGAAGTATGCTTTGGCCATTCGGTGGAAACCCTAAGCCCTAAACCCTAAACCCTGAACCCTTACTCTAAACCCTAAACCCTAAACCCCAAACCCTAAACCCTAAACCCTAAACCCGTCAAGCAAGGTTGCGGAAGTAGGCAGACTCAGGACCGACACGTTTTTCATGGGCACTACCTCATAGGGTACGTGTAGTCAAGCCAAGGACCTAGGAGTCCACGCTCAGGCTCAAGGGTTTAGGGTTTAGGGTTTAGGGTTTAGGGTTTAGGGTTTAGGGTTTAGGGTTTAGGGTTTAGGGTTTGGGGTTTGGGGTTTGGGGTTTGGGGTTTGGGGTTTGGGGTTTAGGGTTTAGCCCCTGACAAGCTTTTGAACTCAGACGTGATTAGTTTGCAGGGGTCTGGACCAATGGCAGCAGCGCCGACGGGCACTGCGCCGCAACTCTATCTGAGACAAGCGCGCTGGCCCGTGCAACAAAAAAGGGCCCTCTCACCGTGCTCCCCAACAACGGGGGATTGCACCAAAGGGTGGCCCTTATCATTGCGCGAAGTTGTTAAAATTTCGCTTCTGGCTCAATCAGCTGACAGCTCGATGCTCTGGAAGAGGATGCGATGTAATTGCCCTAATTTACCACCACGACTTGAACCAGGGTCAAGACTTCATAGAACATTCCTCGAATTCTTGCTTGCAGTCTCGGAGGCTCAGGTCCAGCAGAATGGCGCTCTGCGCCTACCACACATGGAGACCCAAGTTAAGTCGGGTTTAGGGTTTAGGGTTTAGGGTTTAGGGTTTAGGGTTTAGGGTTTAGGGTTTAGGGTTTAGGGTTTAGGGTTTAGGGTCCAGGGTTTAGGGTTTAGGGTTTAGGGTTTAGGGTTTAGGGTTTAGGGTTCAGTACCTGAGGGTCGTACCTATACTACCTGCCGCCTGTTCCTCTCTACACTGGACATCCCGGCGCAAACTGGAAAACTCCGGAAGCTTGCCCGGGCTAATGGCTCTCCTCCAGAAAGCTCCGGCAGATGTGAGTCGAAGACTCCCAACTCTCAAGCGACCCAGGCTGCGATCATTTGCGCAGCCGACGTGGGACGGATGCTGCCTGTAGAGCAGGCTGTGGGAGAACCCACACGACTGCAGAGACTGGCCTGCACCTCTACCCGACAGACTCAGCACACTTCATAAAACGAGCCCGCGGGGGCCGGAAAACTGGGGTCCTCTCAAAGAAACTCCGGGAACCGGAATCCTCACAATGCTGCACTCCGTGCGTGTTCTGATAGAGAGACCCATAACACTGTACAAGAACTTCTTAAGAGCAATGTTCCACGCCATCCGAAGCCCCCGGCGAAGCCTAGAAACTGGCTGCTTCGAGCTGCCAGCCCCTGTTCACTCTTGGAGTGGGCCGCGCCGCGGGCTTGTCTTTTCCAAGCTCTGGGGGGTCTTCGGTCACTCACAGCTGAGGCTACGCGGGAGGAAGTCGTCTGCGCCAAATTCCTGCTCCAGCTTCTTCGCCTCTGGTTCATGGTTGGGAAGGGATTCAAAATGTAAAAAAAATCTCGATTCCTCGGGTTCCCTGAACTTGCACTCTCTGGCCTCAATGCCCTCAAACCCTAAACCCTAAACCCAAAACCCATAAACCCTAAACCCTAAACCCATAAAACCCCTAAAACCTAAAACCGTGAAAACCAGACCAGGGCTTCCCTTGTCAACCGGGCACCTGCGCTTCCTCCTCCTCCTCGCGGCTGAGGCCCAAGTCTAACAAGTCCGGCTGCTTTCCGGCCACGAACACTTCCTGGAAAGCAGGGAGGAGCTCTGGGAGATGAACTCCGGGTCAGAGGAACTCCGGGTCGGAGGAACTCTGGGTCGGAGGAACTCTGGGTCCGAGGAACTCTGGGTCACGGGCCTCCTAGAGACACGCGAGCATGGTAAGATCTGATTCGAAACCCCAAAAGCAAACTCGTAACATACTTCGGAGCCGAGTGCACAAAAAAAACTGCTGTCGGTGACGCATCAGAATACAGCCCATCATACTTCTGGCGCAGAGCTACACCAGACTTGCCTTTATCAGAAGCTAAACAAACTACCCTTTTTGACCTCTCACGCGGACGAGGTGCAGGAGAGAACTTATGAGTGTTATTGGGTTTCAGCAAAACCCCTGTTTGCTTCCAAGATCCTAAAATCTTCTTCAGCATCTTGCTGAATTCATCCTTCTATAAATGATCCTTAACACTTAACGTCATCCGAGAAAATCTTCCCCTAGATTTTCCGGCTGCACCATGTTTCTGTCATCATCCTCAGTCCTCAAGATCATCCTAAGATCCTCTTCCAGCAGGCAATTGGAGGGCAAAAGGGTGCCTGCCAGCTCAAAAAGGCAGGCTGGCTCTTGAGCCTCGCGGGGTCCGCGGGAGGTCCCACAGAGGCGCGAAGGAGCGCGGCAACAAAAAGAGGCTTGGAGCGGGAAGCCAAGAAGATGCCTGGAAAGGCCCCAGAAGCCTGGGAGAAGCCCGAAGATCCTAAACCCTAAGCCCTAAACCCTACACCCTACACCCTAAACCCTAAACCCTAAACCGTTAGGAAAATGCAGTGGACAGGAGAGAAAAAGTCTGGGAGGGACGATGCCGGAGGATGATGTCGGCACCAAAAACTGTTGCTGGCGACCCGAGAATCTGGCCGAGGGTGGTCGCAACCCTTCTCGGGGCTCGGGGAAGATTGCTTTCGTTTTGCAAAGCCACGCATAGGGCCGCCGAGGGAAGACAAACCCTAAACCCTGAAGACTCTAAACATTTACCCTCACCTCCTGGTTTTCGGCTCTTTTGCTGCCAGTGTTGGGGCTGGTAGTCACTCGGCCAAGCGTTCGGGGTCGTTCGCTCGACGGATGCGGGTTACTGTATGTACCTTCATGAAGTGTTCTCAATACACTTACCACAAACAAGAATCTGCCTAGAAGTACCCATGCACAAGGACGTTTCCGAAATTAGGGGTACCTTTTGGGGGCCCTTTTTCCCAGAGAATCCTACTATTTGCGAGAACTACACTAGGGGTCCCTTATTTCCCAGACACAAAAGTTGACGCAAGAGTGGATGTCCAAGCTTCGCCGGAGGTTAGCGGGTTAGGGTTTGGGATTTGGGGGGTTGCCCGAACCCCTCCCGTCCCCCTGAAACCCTAGACCCTAAACCTCACTAAACCCTAAACTTCTAAACCCGAAAACACTATAGCCTAACCCTAAACCCTAAACCCTAAACCCTAAACCCTAAACCCTAAACCCTAAACCCTAAACCCCTCCACCTCGTCTTCCCCGACGGGCTCTTGGTCCAGGAGCTGAAGTTCCGCTTCGGAGAAGATGCTGCCCAGCGCCTCTCGAAAGTGGCCGGTGGTTTAGGGTTTAGGGTTTAGGGTTTAGGGTTTAGGGTTTAGGGTTTAGGGTTTAGGGTTTAGGGCTTAAGGCTTAGGGCTTAGGGCTTAGGGTTTAGGGTTTAGGGTCTAAGGCTTAGGGCTGTAGGGTCTTGAGATGGTTGATGAGAAGAGTTTGGATGCTGGGGTGCGCCAACGACCTCGCGGTTGAAAAGTGTACTTCGGCTTACAAGATCGAGGTCCCTTTCAGGGTGTAGGGTTTAGGGTTTAGGGTTTAGGGTTTAGGGTTTAGGGTTTAGGGTTTAGGGTAGTTTAGGGTTTAGGGTTTAGGGTTTAGGGTTTAGGGTTTAGGGTTTAGGGTTTAGGGTTTAGGGTTTAGGGTTTAGGGTTTAGGGTTTAAAGGGAAACCCTCAACCCTAAACCAGTAACCCTAAACCCTAAACCCTAAACCCTAAACCCTGGCCCTAAACCCCAAACCCTAAACCCTAAACCCTAAACCCTCACCTTGCGGATGACCGCCAAGGTCGCAATAAAGAGGGGGAAGACCACCGCCACCTCCTCGCGGCATGGTGTTCTAGCATCGTTGTGCGGTTTAAGGTTTAGGGTTTAGGGGTTAGGGTTGAGGGTTTCGGGTTTAGGGTTTCGGGTTAGGGTTTAGGGTTTAGGGTTTTTTTACAACCCCAATGACCTCTTTTAGATGTCTAGCGCTTGCTTGGGGGTTTAGGGTTTAGGGTTTAGGGTTTAGGGTTTAGGGTTTAGGGTTTAGGGTTTAGGGTTTAGGGTTTAGGGTTTAGGGTAAGTTTAGGGTTTAGGGTTTAGGGTTTAGGGTTTAGGGTTTAGGTTTTAGGGCCACTGGACTTGGGCTGTACAGACGCGTGAGTCTCTCCTTCTGGGTCCCAACCCTGACATGGCACTTTAGGGTTTAGGGTTTAGGGTTTAGGGTTCAGGGTTTAGGGTTTAGGGTTTAGGGTTTAGGGTTTAGGGTTTAGGGTTTAGGGTTTAGGGTTTAGGGTTTAGGGTTTAGGGTTTAGGGTTTAGGGTTTACTTGGAGGTTCATGGTACTTATTCACCAGTTGTAACTGTACTTATAACTGTACTTATAACCCACTTAGGGCACTTAAGGGGCTTATAAGTGGGTTATAAGTACAGTTATACTTGGTCAAGATTTACCATGAACCTCCAAGTAAGACTCTCGGAACACCAGGCAAGAGACATGAAGGAGGGACGGACTCGCCTTGAAGTAGGTGGTTGTCAACATTAAGAACCCTTTTTGGATCCCCATTATCATACGGCACCTAGTATTTAGGTTACCCAAAAGGGATCTGTTTTTGACAACCACCCAAGTCTACAAGTTACTGACCCTGACGAAACCCCGGCTCCGAGATGGTCTTGAGGGCATACAGGATGCCCAGGCAGATCACCTCGATCGAGCTTAGGGTGTTGAGAGTGCTCCGGGGGCGTACAGGGGTGCAAAAGAGAGATGCAATTCAGAAACTGCGAGAGTTCTTGTCAGATCCATGGCCTGGAAGAGTGTGTAGAGATGCACACGCGTCGTTGGAAGCTCATGGAGGAAGTGGAACCGTGGCGGGTACTTGGAAGTGTCCCAGACCAGCCACAGGCACATGCGGTCAAACATGTTATTTCCGGTCAGCGAGCTGATGCCCATGTAGAAGAACACGCCCTGCAGCACTGCCTTGGGCAGAAGTGTGAGCACCGGCGCCATGAACAGCGCGAATCCGAGGAGCCCATGAATGATGAAGTTTGTCGCGCGCTGCTCCACCACCTTTGTCGGAACCTTGCGATCTCCGACTGAAAGGTGCCTCTCTTCATAGGTGGTCCTATACTGAACTTGGGACCCTACCAACAATTATTTTAGCCGTTTCTTAAGGATTATATATAGTAGCCAAAAATTAAAAAAATATTTCCAAGTACCCCTAAGAGTCAGGGAGATCAGGTGTGTGATGCTGGGCACAGTCGATGCAACTGACATCGGCAAGCCGAGGATACCACAGGCCGGCATCAGCAGAAGGCCGCGGACAAAAATGTCCAAGTGGTAACCGGGGGGCTTTTTGAGATTGTTGGACGGCCGGTTCAGAATGAGTGTCGTGAGGTTCTCGTCAAGGTATCCCAGAACTGTGAAGCCCAGGGCCGGAAAAATCGCATATGCCTTCGGATCTTTGATAGAAACGTCAGGCCAGCTAAGACTGGACCTCAACCTGAAAAGAGACCTTCGAGCCCTTGAAGCAATGCAGCCACCCACACACAACTCCCTCACCCTGAAACTCCGAGTCGCCACGCCCCAGGCGGGAAATGGGCGGTCGATGCCAGCAGGATTTACGATCCAGCTTCGCTTGCCTCCTCCCTCCACTGTCAGAGATGGGGCGAAGTCGTCATCCATGGGCAGCATGCGGATATCCAGGTTTGCGTAGATGGCCGCCAGTAAGGATGCGGAGACCAAGGCAATAGTCACTGCAGAGTTGGCCAAGAAGTTCCGGATGGGACGGTTCAGCCAGTGCGTGCGCCGAAAGTGGGAGAGATAGGTCGCCAGGCCTCACTTTGCCACATGGGGGCCCCCTATGGGGTCCGCCCTAATATGCCCCGTTGAAGAAACCTGGCTCCGCAAACAACCAGACCATTTTTTCGCAGAGGCCCCGGCGCTAAAGCCGTGCTGTTGGTCTAGGTGGCACTAAAAGGCGTATTCTGAGCAACGGAAGTCTGGGAGACAGCTTGTCCTGGTCCTGACGAGGTGTCCTCTTCACGAAGAAGCACGGTTGCAATATGCGTTGCAATATATAAGGGCACCCTAATACACCGCAAGCATTGTTATTGTGCTTCCTAAAAACAGGAACCCTTAAAGACGTCCCCGTATGTCCCCGTTTTGGGAAAGCCCCCTGTCCCTTCTGCTTTGGATCCCTCACTTCCAGGTATTTTGGGTAGCTGTTTAGGGTTAAGTTTAAGGTTGGCCTTCGGTAATGCTTCGCGTCCCTCGCAAGAATGCTGAGAGAACACGCAACAAGTCGGCGTCGTCCCAAAGCCAAGGGGTCACTGCAGGTTCAGGACATTGTTTAGGATTCTACAATCTCTCTTAACCAATAGCCACGAAGTCTCACTAACCTAGAACCCCCACCCCGCACATCTCGCCCTCGTAGACGAAAAACGGCCAAAGAAGATTCAGAAATGCCTACACAACGATGATGCGTTCGGTGTCTTTGAAGAGGGGCTTGGGGGGGTGGGAGATGGGGAGGGAACTGGGGATGTTCCCCCTTCCACTAACAGTCCTTAATAGGGATTATAACAAGGGGTACTATAATCACTATGAAGGACTCCGATGAAGGACCGTTTAAACCCTAAACCCTAAACCCTAAATCCCGAGAAGAAACGCACTTGCCATGCCGGGTGGCCGAAGGTGTACATGAAAAGCAAACTCTCGAACATCGCAGCGCCCAGGCTTACCCTTTCCTCTGAGCCGCAAAAGGATTTAAGGTTTAGGGTTTAGGGTCTAGGGTTTAGGGTTTAGGGTTTAAAGGTGCAAGGTGGAATATCGGATGAAACATGTCTGAAACGAGCTGCCACGCTGTCGCCTACATCTCTGATCCACCCTTTCCCCAGACCCCTGGGTGGATCCAAAACATGGCAACCCCCCCACATAGTACCCTATACTACTCTTGGGTCATTCTTCGGAACCCTTAAGGGGGATCTATTTTTTGGATCCCAACCCCATGCGTTCCCACGCCGTCCTCTACGAAGTTGAGGATGATCGGCTTGGCCCCATCAACGATGAAGACAAAACTGACGAGGCCAACGAAGATGTCCTCCAAAAAGAAGCGAATGGGTTTTACGATATGACAATGGGGTCCTTCTTATAAGGGGCTCCTACTATTTGGGGGTCTATACTGGGCTCCCTATTTTTAACCCCCAGATGCACACCTCCCCAAGGTCAGCTGAAATAACCCCCCCTCCCCCCCTGACGCCCAAACCCGCAGAGCCTCCGTGAACATGGTGATGTGCTTCATCAGGGCGCAAAGGTCGAAGATGGCCACGAGGATGGTAAACAAACCGCACCACATGCAAACCCAGAAGTAGTAGGGCAAGAACTCGAGATCCACCTCAGGGCCCAAAAGGTTTACGAGAAATTCGGCTCCAGACCCCCTTCCGCTCCTACACCTGCAACGGAGCAACTTCAGGAAGGGGATTGGTGGTTCACCCTAAGAAGAGACCGCAGCTTTTTGAGAACTGAAAGCATTGGGCAGGGTTCATGGGGGGGTAGGTACCAAGGGAACCTTAGCAAAGCTTAGGGAACCTTTGGGAGTAGTGGCGAGTATGAGGGAACCTTGGGCTACATACACCCCCTTGAACCCCCCTCCCGCAAGAACTTAGCAGAGTTGCGGCTAGGGAGAGGTCGTAGCAAACCAGGGTGTAGGCCAGGAAAGGCCCCGTCGGGCCCACAAGCGCCAAAGGCTGGCCCGCAAACCTTTGCAGCAAAGAGAACGCCACCCTTCTTTTTGATTCCCCTCCTCTGTATGAAGGTTGAGATCTCCTATGTGGGGGGCTTCTGGATGGCAAGAATTTTCTCTCTTTATTTGAAGGACAACTTTGCGGCGCCCACTTGCTTACTAGCTCATCGGCCAGCCGTTGCTACCGAAGTCCTGCCCAAGGTAGAAAGTGGTACCTGCAGGACCCATCAGGGCATGGATGAAGCTAGTGATAAGATTCAATATATCTATAAACATGTATATATGTGTATATATATATATATTATATACATACGTATGCATATACATGTACTCCTAGTGACATACATACAATACACATGCAGATATGTTCTTCTTTTTCTCGAACCTGCATAAGAAAACGTACACAGAACCAATTCAGAGCGATGAGGCATCGAAGGTTTGCGACCGAGCGGCATTGCACATATCACGCCACTGATCGCAGTCGACAGAATCATCTCTGCCACCTTTAGGGTTTAGGGTTTAGGGTTTAGGGTTTAGGGTTGAGGGTTGAGGGTTGAGGGTTTTGAGGGTTGAGGGTTTAAGGTCTAGGACTGAAGAGCCAAACACACAATGCCAACAACAGGCCAGAGGCACCCCGAACTGGCCACCCGTACCGTCGCGAAACTGGCTTCCAAACCTTGGACTCTCATATGCCAACGTGGATTGCAACTCAGACGTGCAACTCAGACGTGACCCATCTGCTTCTGAATGAGCTCAAGAGTCCCAGAGAGGCACAGGAAGGTTTTAAACAGGCGCTCAAGTGATGCGAAGCAGGCAAAGAAGGCAACTTCACAACGAAATCGGCAGAGGTACCACACGCTACTTCCTTGCCCAGGTGGCGTGATGGCTGGAGCGAGGGCTGCTGCAAAAAGATACACAATCGTCGTCACGGACTTGTTGGCGTTCCTGGATCACTCAATGAGGGCACGACACCAGGTTGCAAGTAAATCGCTGCTTTGCTGTCAAGCCCCAGCCTGAACACGAAGGCATGTGGCCTTAACACATCCACCCTGAACCCTCAAGCCTCAAGCCTCAACCCTAAACCCTAAAACCCCAAAACCCTAAAACCACAATCCTAAAACCTAAAGCCTCAACGTTAAAGCTTAAACCCAAACCCTAAACCCTGAACCCTAAAACCCTCAACCCCCAACAAGTCCCAGCAATAGATCGTCCAAGTCACTCCATCCTGAAGGCATCGGTCCAGTCGCTGACGTAGAAGGGCAAACGCCGGCGCAAGTCCTGAACCAAACCTTGGCTTGGGGCGTGGGGAAGGTTGGGGGGTTGGTTTGGGTGTTTAAAGGTTGTTAGGGGCTTTCAAAGGCTTTTCTAGGGTTTGGCGGGTTTTTGTTAAGGGTTCGTTAGGGGTTTGAAGGGGTTTACATCCAGGACAGAAAACTTTGGTTGGGTTGCGCACCCCCGATATGGGTACCCCCCCAGTGAGCGTCCCTAACCTGCCTATACCCCCATGAAGAGGACCCCAAAACAGACCGGATGCTAGAGAAGCCCCTCTGTCACCATGTCAGAGCCTCGGAGCCTTTTCGTGAGACTGGACCAGTATACTGGCTTCCGGTGGTATCTTTGCCGGTTCGGGGTTGAGGGTTTTAGCTTTGTGGTCCCTGTGCCAGGAATGAGTTGCTAAGACTGCGAGCAGTCAGCACGAAAGTTTCAGCAAAAAGGACATGAGGCAAAGGTCTCATGGCAAGGTTACTGGTGCTGCCGTGCTGTGGAACATGCCGGCTGATGCACTATGTGACTGCATCATGTTGCAGAAGCACCTGGTGCAGCGCAATGGTTAGAGCTTGGGCCTGGTTTCTTGGGTGGCGGGTGTGAAAAGAGTATGACGTGGAAGTGGAGGCGCTGTCATGAGAGGCACGAACAGGCCCTGCACTTCCTGCTAGATGGGCTTGGGCAGGACTATAGGGAAGAAACGGTTGTTCCAGGCCAGCAAGCGTAAACTGGCCGGCAATCGTACTCCCTCGCCATGTTTACCAAGAGCATCTGACAGCAGATGCAACCCAAGAATCCACCTCCAATCCGGCCGGTGAACTCCAAGGGCTCGAAGTCCTGCACACCAAGCGATTCAAAGGGTGTCGAATCAACTGCGGGATTCTGACACTAAACCCTCGCAGAAGTCCTTCTTTAAAGAAATGTTGATGTAGCCTTCCGACTGGTCTCGCAGAACTGCCACCGCCTCCGTCATGCTCACGAAGCGGCTGCGAGGCCTTTGACTCTATGAAGCCTTCACACTTCCCAGAGCCGATAATCTCAGCACACTCGCGAGATGCGCAACGCACTTCATGACGTCATGCTCGCTTCGGACCATGGCAGAAAGCTGAGTACTGTCGGCAGATTTAGGGTTTAGGGTTTAGGGTTCAGGGTTTAGGGTTTTTGATTTAGGGTTTAGGGTTTAGGGTTTAGGGTTTAGGGTTTAGGGTTTACAAGGGCATTGGGGCAAAAACCGACGCAAGTCACTGCCCCATTTCGTGGGAAAGAGGATGTCTGCCGGGTTTGCTTTTTCGATGCCAAGTCTCCTTCTCTTTGGAAGGTAAGAGACCGCGCGCTCGTAGAGCACTGCATTTTAGTAAGAACCGACATCAAATGCTATGGCCTAAACGTTCGTTTTACCCCAGGAATTATCTCGCAGCAAAGCCCATAAACACCGCTGCTATTTGCAGCAGTCGTGTTGTTGCAAAACAGGTCACACGGCTTTGCCGGGAGACTCTGCAAGCGGATACAGCCTACAGCCACAACTGCTCCACCTTCCGATGGCAACCTCTCAGCAAACATAATGAATGCCGAGGCTGCAAGATGGACCTATACGGACATTGACCATCGTCTGGTCTAGCGTGCCTCACCAGACGATGGTCATCAGAGGGTTGTAAATCTTCACGAAAGCCTTCAGCGCCAATTCTCTACATTCCGGTCCTTTCTGTTTATGAGCCATCCTGCTTAGGGTACCGCCACGAAACACCCTCAGTCCCACAGACGCCGAAAAACTTCAACGACCACACAGCTGTAAACACCCCAAGATTGGGATGTTCCCCCCTTATACTAACAGTCCTTAATCGTGAGTATAGTACCCCTATTTTCATCCCTATTAAGGACTGCCAGTATAGGGGCTACCAACCCAACCCCAAGACCTTGAAACCATGGACCCCAAACCCTCAACCAGCAGCATCCTAAACTCTAAACCCTAAACCCTAAACCCTAAACCCTAAACCCTAAACCACGGCCTCGGTGGAGGCGGCCAAGGCCGGCCTGACATCCATAGGGCGGTGGGCTCAGGAGGGTCTCAAACTGGAATTATAGGCTCTTCTTCATATTTCTATAGGCTCTTCTTAATATTTCTATAGGCTCTTCTTAATATTTCTATAGGCTCTTCTTAATATTTCTACAGGCTCTTCTTAATATTTCTATAGGCTTTTCTTAATATTTATATAGGTTCTTCTTAATATTTCTACGTGTGAATGAATTATAGGTTCGTGATATAATGTTTCTATAGGTTCTTCAGAATATTTCTACGCATGAATGATACTAACATGTCGATGTATGATACTAACACTAGTGTTCTTCTTGCTATTCATACCAGTGAGAATAGATGAGTATGGTCCCTCTCCGCGTCAGCAAGAACAGCAAAACCAGGCGCAGCCATCACGGCTCAATCCCTTTCTGCCAAGAAGCGAGATGTCATTGTTCCGCAGGATCACCTCACGGCTGAAATCGGGGTTCATCTGAATCATGCTCCCTTTTTTTTTTGGGGGGGGAGGGAGGGTGACTTAAAGGCTAATCCTCGTACCAAGCAGGATTCCCCCTGACCCTCAACCCCAAACCCTCCATCCCTAAAGTCTAAACCTACACCCTAAACCCTCAACCCTAAAACCCTGAACCCGAAAACCCTAAACTCTAAACCCTAAAACCCTGAAACCCTAAACTTTGGCCCTAAACCCTAAACCCTAGACCCTAAAACCCTAAACCCTAGACCCAAAAACCCCACACCCTCCCGCAAGTTGACTAAGGGCCGCTCCAGGTCGATCATGGAAGTGAGCTGCTTCGGATTCCACAGCGACCGCTTGTGCTCCTGGCAGTGTTCCCGAAGTTCCGGGTTTAGGGTTTAGGGTTTAGCGTTTAGGGTTAAGGGTTTAGGGTTTAAGGGTTTACGGCTTGGGGTCTAGGGCTTAGGGTTTAGGGCTTAGGGGGAACTAAGTTGAAGTTACCATAACCGTAGTATTGCTAGTGCGGTAACTTGCTTTATGCTTCCAGCAGCTAAAGGAGGGATTGTTTATCAGGGATGCTCAGGGTAACGTAGGGGCCACATTAGTTATGTAGGGCCTGTATAAGGTGCATATAGCCCCTAGAGGGGAATAAGATTGAGGGTCCCTTCTAGGGGTCCCTCCTTGCTACCCCGTTGCTTAAACAGCGGCTCTGCCCCCCGTGCAGCGCCAGAGTAAACCGAAGGGCCAGGGACAAGACACCCCACGGTAGGGACTGCATCCTGAAAGCCCTGAAGCCCTCAACCCTAAACCCTAAAAAAAGAGCCCCAAACCCTGAACCCTAAACCTTAAATCCGAAACTCAAGAAGCCCTGAAAGCCCTGAGCCCCAAAAGCCCGCAAGGCCCGAAGGTCGTCTCGAGAACTTAGGGTCTAGGGTTTAGGGCTTAGGGTTTAGGATTTTGGGGCTTTGGGGACTTGCGGAGGGGAGGGGGGGATCGGGAAGGGTGGTGGGGGGACGCAACCCCTCTCCCAAGACCCGAAAACCCTAAAAACACCAAATCTCTAAACCCCAAAACCCCTAAAACTCGAAGCCCCATAAAAGTCTAAACCCCTAAGCAACCAGTCGGGCGCCTTCTGAAATCGTTCCGTCAGGGCGTGGAGCCCCTGCCTGGCGTTGGCTTGTAGGTTTAGTGTGTGTTTGGGTGTTTAGGGTTTAGGGTTTAGGATTTAGGGTGTAGGGTTTAGTGTTTAGTGTTTGGGTTGAGGGACTTAGGGTTCTGGGCTTGGGGCTTTGAGGTTAGGGTATTTTGGGGCGGGGTTAGGGTTTTGGGTCTGGGTTTTGGTCCTATGGCGTCTGGGTGCAAGGCTTGGAACTTCCCCCACCATGCCAGCCTGCATCCCACCGAATTGCTGAGAGACGTGGTGGTACTTCGGGCTTTGCCATTCTTGGGCTTCGGGTTTCGGACTCTCCTGCTAAGCCGCGTCCACGTCACTCGTCTACACGTTAACGCAGGCCGGACAAGCTCTCCGATCTTGTTCCCTTCGAGGTCCAGGGTCTGAAGCTTGACCATCCTTGGCTTGGCACGTGGCGCCGGGCTTGTGCGGACCCGCCGCCGGCGCGCTAGGTGCCATCTGGGTCCCGGGCTGGTTTGCGCTCATCACTGCCTTCAAGCCTGTGCACTTCGCCACGCGCATGCATTCTGGCAGCGTGACTTAGCTGCAGTTAGGCATAACAAAGATTGTAGCTCCGACTGCCTGCTGAGGTGATGCCGTTGTCACGAAGGCCTGCACTCGTCTGGTCAACATGAGTCCATGATCTTATGCTGAATGCATTTGCCCGTGCAGTGCCGTGTCATGCGCTATCGAAAGCCTGCATTACAACCTCGCCGCAGGCGTATGTGGCCGCGCGCGCACGTTTGGAGAAGAGAGGAAAACATTGTAAATACCGATACAATCGATAGTTGAAGCAAGCATCACACGCGCGTAAAAACATAAGTTTTTCCCCTAAATTCGGCAGACGTCTCACGTTTTTTTATGTCAGAAGAGCCTCACCACAAAGGTCCTACATTGCCAGCGGAGCCCAACAAGCCAGAAAGCGCATAACCACTCCCTGTGCTTGGTACATACAGACTTGAAACCCAAAACCCCAAACCCGAAACCCTTGCCGAATGTAAGCCCACATCGTAGCAATCCTGGACCAGAAGGATTCTGCCCTATAGCCCTCAACCCGAACACAAACTCAACCCCCAGGGCATTAAGTGGGTGTAAGGTTCCAGGAACGTAACCTTATAGCCCTCAAGCCGAACACAAACTCAACCTCCAAGGCTTAAAGTGGGTGTAAGGTTCCAGGAACGTAACTACCCCCCCCCCCATTGAAGTCCGAAAGTACCTCAAATACCACGGCGGAATACGCACCGTGGACCAACTACATTAGAGCTGAGCTGCGAATTGCCGCGCCGTCATGAAAGCGGTCAACACGACATCATGTAGGAGGATACTCACACAGGAAGTTCGAGACTTCAGGGTTTCGGGCTTAAAGAGTTGAGGTTGAAGCATTTGGACTGCCAAGTACTGGAAGCATGTGTGCGATGGACGTAACCACCCCCCCCCCACCCCCCCCCACCCCCCCAAAGCATGGAACGACCAATGGATGCAATAGGATTAGGAAACCTCGGAATCAAGGAGGTGTTCGGCGTGTAACACGAGGAAAACACCGCAAATACCGATGTTTCCGGCGTGCAACACGCGCGAAACACTGTAAAGACCGATGTTTTGGGCCTGTCCCAAAAGGCGAAAAGTGGAGGAGCCGAAAACACCGACGGCAGCGAGGGTTTCGGCATGTGACCCTAAGGAAACACTGTAAATACCGAGGAAATCGGCATGTCGGTTTTGCGCGGGGACATGCGTCTGGAGGGTACAACCTTAAGCAGATGCACCATGTACGTGTAGCTTAGCTTCACAGCCCGATCTCAAAGGACCGCACACTAGAACCTCGGGCGTGAAGATTTAGACAACAACGACCACAGCCACAATGACGAAGACCATAGAAGGAGCAGGGCGGATTTTCTGCCCCCCCCCCCCCCCCACCTAGATAGTGCAGCGAGCCGAGCACGGGCACCTAAGCAAAAAGCAGCACTCGCGCAAGCAACGGCCACAAACGGCCAACACAATTTGGGATGTTCCCCCTTGTACTAACAGTCCTTAATAGGGATTGCAATAGAGGGTACTATGATGACTATAATTCCTGTTATGGACTGTTAGTATAAGGTGGAAATTCCCAAGGCAAAATGCAAGAGCCAGGCCAACAATCGCTCTCCGCTCTGGGCCCTCGGGCAAGCTGCTTGAAGCCTTCATCCCCCAAGGAACAGCCCGAAATCTCCAGGTAGTGCAAAGAGAACGACTCCTGCATCCGTTGTTTTTCGGAGATTTCTGGAAGCTGCTATAAGGTTTAGGGCAGGCTCGATAAGGTGCATACACACCTTCTTACTTGAGGGGTTTTGGGAATACCATAACAGAGATGATAGCAGCATCGGGAATCTATGATCCAAGTTTGGGTGCTTTGCATATTTACGAACGCCTTCGTCAATCCGCGGGCTGGCGTGCTTGGGTTCACTTGGAGTCGCGTGTTCTGGCGACCTCAAGACCCAGTCCTCACTTCAGGACCGTCTTGCTTTTATGTAAGGAAACTGTGCTACTCGGGGCTTGGCAGTCCTAAGCCCTAAGCCCTTGTAACCTGTGGAGGTCTTGTGAGGATGCCAAGAGCTTCCCCAAACTGGACTACTCCCGAGGCCTGCCTTAGCTCGGGCGAGTCAGTCGAGAAAGCCTACCAACCCTCAGTAAGGTAGGTGATCTTGAAGAAAAGTCTGGCGGGCAGCCAACAAGATTCTTTCAAAGGCGCCATAGGCAATGGACAACAAAAAACCCTGCGGCCTTGCCTTGTCGTTTTGGTCCATCCATTTGACCATGTCTGCACCTTGCAGGGGGGAACGACTCACGCCGACAAAACGCCACAAGAGCAGAGGTATTATGCATTGGGATGCAACTGTCAAAGTGCAGCCGCATCACATCCCTCTGGTCCAAGGTTGTTGTACGACACGTCCAAACCTTGGCAGTAGAGCGAACATCCTTCAACTCCACCGCTGAACGACACGAAGCCCCCAGAACCTGCACGTAATGAAACATGCTGTCTTACCATAGTGCGATGTTGGCTTTCGGGCATGCTAGCCTCCAGGCTCAATTGGCAACTATCAGGCCCCGACGCTGCAAGTTCGGCGACAAGGACACAAGGCTCAGGAGCATTGCCTGTCGACCAGGGCAAAGATCGCGCTGGGCGGACAGGAAACAAACACCTGCTAAATCAACCCAAGGATCTCATCCCATGAAAATGGCCCAACCAGATCGACAAGATCGCAACACCATGCAGGACAAGGATCGTCCCTCCACAAGCCCTTAAAAATAAACTGAGTAAGTTTAGGGTTTAGGGCGTAGGGTTGAGGGTTTAAGGTTAGGGTTGCCCTGATCCCAAGTTACCCCTTAAGCCATAAAATCCTGCACTGACAGGCCTGCGAGGCTTTCGTCAAGCCGCAGTTGGACATGCGGAGGTTCACCAGGCCGATGCTTAGACCTCGGGAGGGCATCTTCCTTGGGGGTGGTTCTCTCAGTTAAGGCCCCAACTTAGAAAAAGCACCCCCCACAAGGGATCCTAATTTCGAGAACTCTTGGGCTTCGAGGAATAACAATTTTGGGCTGCGCTGCCATGCCATAGCAACACCGACAGCGGGCTTCTGTTCAGACACGCAAGAGGAGGAGGAGGAATAGGATCAACAGCATTTGCCGCCAAATCTGTGCTCAAGGCTCTCGGCGATGATGGCCAACCCTTCCTAGGTCAACATGCTTAGAATTTAGGGTTTGGGGTTTAGGGTTTGGGGTTTACGGTTTAGGGTTTAGGGCTTAGGGTTTTGGGTTAAGTTTAGGGTTTAGGGTTTAGGGTTTGGGGTTTAGGGTTTGGGGTTTGGGGTTTGGGGTTTGGGGTTTAGGGTTTAGGGCTTAGGGTTTAGGGTTGGTGGGTTTGTTGTTTCTGCCCCTTTGCGAGTGGGAACCAGACAGGGTGAACCAAACAACTCCCCAACCGCCGCACGTGTGCCCAGCTGGCCAAGCATCGTCGCCAATCGGGTTACCGTTGATAACCAGCTCTTGCAAGTCCTCGCAGCGTTTATATCCACCAAGAAGTAGCAGAAACACTGCAAACCTGAAGGCCACATGCTGCAGCATTTGCAATGGCCGTTGCCTGCGTCTCCGCAGCACCCTGGTCGAGGAAGTCGTCCATGGAGTCGGCCGTGAAGCCCATGTCCTGCACAACCCAAACATGCACTCGTAGCTTGCTCCCCACATGCCGATCTTCTTGAAAGCCGCAAGTCCTCGAGCTGAAGCGTCAGCACTCGGCTGTGTTCGATGGCGCTGCCTCGTTCGCACATTGTTCTTGCTGTCCGTGCCTGTCCATGAGCCTGAAGCCTGCAAACCCTAAGCATGGCGTATCCGGGGCATCCTCGAAGCACATGCAAATGCCCGGAACATCTGGCCTGACATGGCCTGAGCCACGAATCCGGCCCTTCCCGCCCTGGAGCCTATGTGAGATGGCCCCACGTGATCCAGGTGGTTGCCGGAAAGCACGAGCTTCACGAGGGTCTGGCAAGTCCTGAACCACCGCGAGGGTCAGAGAGGGCTCTTCCGAAAGGGCCACAGGGACCCCAAATGGGCATTTCCGAAAAGAAGGGTACCCCTAATATACCCTCAAATACTAGACTCCTTATTGTCGGAACCTCCAAAAGGGTACCCCCTTTTTTCGGAAACCCACAAATGGTCCTAATGAACTCCGGAGGTACCAAAGCAAGAGCTTGTCCTCATCATGTCCCCTATCGTCTCGGCCGCTGTGTCACTGAAGATGCCGTTGTGTGCCTCTCCAGACACTACAAGGAAGCCCCGAAAAGCAGCCCTACAAGACATTCCATCATCTTCCCCAAGCACAGAGGGGGGCGTGCCAGGTTCACGCACTTCAAGGAGGTCGACTCCGCCACGCCCATGCAGACCTCCACGCCACCATCGTCGCCGAGCCTGAGTCTGGTGTGCGCACCGCCTACCGCGAGATTGCGGCTGTCTGAAGGTCTGTGCTGGGATCCGCGCTTGTTGTGGGCCACTGAGATCTCTTGGATTTTCACGTGGTCCCTTGCCAACGCGCGGTCTCTCTTTTTTCCCGGAGCCGCACCCGAACATCCGGAACTGCAGAGCAGAGCAGGGCTGGTGCCTCAGCAGCTCCCGCAGCGCCTTGGCACCCTCCTGCGCAACTGCTTAGGGTTTCGGGTTTAGGGTTTGGGGTTTGGGGTTTAGGGTTTGGGGTTTAGGGTTTAGGGAACTGAGAGCAACTGAGAGCAGCTGACAGTCCGACACCTTTGCTGTGTCGGGCACTTTGCGTTGGGCCTCATGCACTCAAGAACCTTTCTGCGGGGTCACCAGTTGCACCTTACACTTCCCCGCCCCCCAGCCTAAACCCTAAACCCCTAAACCCCTAAACCCCTAAACCCCTAAACCCCTAAACCCCTAAACCCCTAAACCCCTAAACCCCTAAACCCCTAAACCCTAAACCCTAAACCCCTAAACCCCTAAACCCCTAAACCCCTAAACCCCTAAACCCTAAACCCTAAACCCTAAACCCTAAACCCTAAACCCTAAACCCTAAACCCCCAACCTCCCCCCCCAGTTCGGTTCCAGCTTGATGCCGCAGCCCTCCAGCTCCAGGAGTCGCAGCCGAGAGCACCTGCGGCAAAGTTTAGGGTTTAGGGTTTAAGGTTTAAGGTTTTGGGGTTTAGGGTTTAGGGTTTTGGGGTTTAGGGTTTAGGGTTTAGGGTTTAGGGTTTAGGGTTTAGGGTTAAGGGTTTAGGGTTTAGGGTTTAAGCCCTTTGCGTGCCCAAGAGACCCTGAAAAGACTTCCTCAAGCACCCTAAACCCTAAACCCTCAACCCTAAACCCTAAACCCTAAACCCTAAACCCTAAACCCTAAACCCTAAACCCACACAAAGTGGGCGGGCAAGCGCCTGGAAAGTGCCTGGCACACGGTCGCCACCCCTTGGCAGCCCAGGGCCTGGCAAAACGAAGCTGCAGATGCCCCATGTGCCTCATGCACCTCATTCCGCCCCTCATTCTTAAGAGAAGTTATGTTGGGGGTTCTACACTCCCTCTCCCTCATATGTGGCCAACGCAGAGCTCGTGCAGCCCGTGCAACAGCCAAGCGGCATTGTTGGAGAGGCAGAGCGTGTCGAGCCTCGTTCGCTGGATTCAAGGCGAGAAAAAACTTCGGACTGGCCGCCAAACCCTATCTCCAAAATGACCCCCCGAAGTAGCCCTACAAATCCCAACTATCCTCCTCTACATCGGCCCTGAACCCAACATCCTCGGCGGTAACACTGCAGCTTCTGGCTCGCAACCCTCCGCGCGGGCTCTGAGGTGAGGCCTTGTGTGCTCGAGGATCTCGATTCTGGCACAGCCCGCAGCGCTGAGGCCTGCAGGGAAACCCCTTCAGGTTTAGGGCTTAGGGCGGAGAGAAGCTCGAAACTGAGTGTTCAAGGCGTTCATTGAGCTATAGTCACGCAGCCCTCTTTGGCAGCCCCTATAGGAACAGACGAGAATAGAAAGCAAAGAAGGGCCTGCACTGCACCGTGATATAGATCAACCCCCACATGAGCATGCTTTGCGTTGCTGCCGGAGCATGGCCACCTCGAACCAATCTCACCAGTAGCTGAAAACTTCCGCATACTTCTGCCAGAACGTCTTTGCTGCGCAGGTCACGGAACCAACAGCAGCAGCAGCAGCAGCAGCAGTGGTGGCAGCAGCATTCTGCATACTCTCTGCACTAACATCTTCCTGGGCAGGTCACAGAACCTGCAGCAGCAGAAGCAGTAGCAGAAGTAGCAGTAGTCGTCGTCTCGTGGTGTGGCACCACTCCCTTTACTGCCGCTACCTCCATTCTAACAGAAGAACCACATCTAGTGCATCATTCTCCAGCTTCCACAGAGACTAAGGATCCGGGCTGATGTTCTCTGCACGCAGCACCTGAGAGATTGAAGGCCCTCACACCTTAAGCCGCAGGAATCCTTGAGCACCCCAAAACTTGGGACACACAGAAATCCCGCACGCAGACCCAAAGCAGAACCCTGCACCTGAAGCCCCAAGCAACCATGAACTCTAAACCCTAAACGACACGAAACCCGAAGGTTTCAGGGTTTAGACGGCCTGGAAACGGCGATAGCGAGCCATGCCCTCCACGAGGGAATGAAAGCCTCGGGCTATCAGGGCACATTGCATTGCTGGCTATAAGAAGGCAATGTCAGGAATTGGGGTTATGCCCTTTTGTGGTTGTACGCTGTGCATTCGTTCTCCCCATAGCATCCCCCCCCCCCCCCAGAGTGGTGCGCGGTCTCTCCCTCTGAATCACGGTCCCTATTTAGGGGACCTAAATTTATCGTGGCGTAGAAATGTGGCGGAAAAAGTCGGACAACAGACATGGCCACATTGCTTGCTGGCGCCTTCATCTCCGATCTTCGTGTTCTGGGACCTCCAGCAGACCAAAGATGCATGAACCCTCAACCCGAAACCCTAAACCCTAAACCCTAAACCAAGGACGTATGAGCAGAACAGGACCCCAAAATTCCAGGAGCCAAGAGCCGCACACGTCCAGCGAGGTGACGCCCAGGGTCTCGTTCTGCGCGACAGTCCGATGCTGAAAGTCCCGAAGGACTCATGCTACAAATTGCGAAAGGTACGCGGGAGTTTCCCTTCGTTTCAAACGGTCCATCCAGGCCACTCGTGGAGTTCATAGATATGTACGACTTCTGAGCTCTGATTTGTGCCTTTTGCATGGAACGAGACAGGTAATGCATATTTCATACCTCACACACGCCCGTCCACACCTCCCTCTCTGGATCTGCGTCTGGGTCGTACTCCTCAAAAGCAAGACAAACTTAAGCTCTGAGAAGTACCTACTTCTTGCCAGTTTTAAGGTTTAGGGTTTAGGGTTTAGGGTTTAGGGTTTAGGGTTTAGGGTTTAGGGTTTAGGGTTTAGGGTTTAGGGTAACACGCCCTCTAAAGCACGAGGGCTCATCACGAGTGCCTCGTCCTCGTCCTCAAACCCATCCCCATCAGTGTCCGGAGTCTCCTGGCAGTGGCTTGATCTGACAGCACATGCTATAGAGTCATTGTGAAATACACTTGTGGGCGCTCCACTGCTTATCCGGCCGTGAACCCTAAATCCTAAACCCTAAACCCCAAAAAGGAGGATCCCCCAATCTGACCGTGCCTTACCCTCCTCGCCCAGCTGCACCGAGTCCCTTCCACATTGACCAATGCACACAAAAGGGCAAAGTCTGACGTACTAACACCCCTGCAATCCTCAGGATTTAGGGTTTAAGGTTTAGGGTTTAGGGCTTAGGGAACAGCAGCTTCTTGGTACAAGTAGAACCACATTGGCATCGTAAAATGCCGACATGCCAAGGAGGCCGAGCTGTGCTGCATCCCTGCAAACTCTGCAACTCAACAGGAAGCTGCTGGTAAGGCCATGACCAAATCCTGGCAAGAATGCCAGCCTCACTTGCAAAGCAAAGCCACGACAAGCAGAGAGAGAGATAGAGAGAGAGAGAGGCAAAGAGGAAGAGCTGCAAAAACTGCAAGGGGTCGATCCGATGGATTTCATGCCCGTGCAAGCATGGATCTGGGTGCCCCACGGCTTCCGGATCCAGATCCTCGGCTAGGTAGTTTCAGGGTGAAGGGTTCAAGGCCACCATCAGAACGAGATGTAACCAAACCCCAAACAACCCCTAAACCCCAACCCTAAACCCCTAACCCCTAACCCCGAAACCCTAAACCCTAAACCCTAAACCCTACACCCTAAACCCTAAACCCTAAACCCTAAACCCAAGGCTTGTTGCTAAGGCTCGTTGTTGCGCAGAATCAAGGATCTGCAGGCCCGGGTTCGAGGCAGCCTCCGCTGAGACGAAGCGCGCCCATGAGGATCGAACCCCGACCCATGACACTTTAGGGGTTTAGGGTTTAGGGTTTAGGGTTTAGGGTTTAGGGTTTAGGGTTTAGGGCTTAAGGTTAGGGTTTAGGGTTTAGGGTTCAGGGTTTAGGTTTTCGGGTTTCGGGTTTCGGGTTTTTTAACGGTTCGGACAGGGTTTCGGGTTTAGGGTTTAGGGTTCAGGGTTCAGGGTTAATTGCTGTCATTGTCTTCTTGGTCCTTTCGCACTGTTCTGGTATTCCTGGGCATGTTGTTAGCATTGGTCCCTTTGATCACTATCACTGTTATGACTGCTGCCATTGGGTGTGGCTCCACCCTTGACCCCACCTTTCGACACCTGGCCTCTCAGGGTGGTTCAGGGCATCCGCCAGAATGGTGACGCTAACCGCATTGATGCCTTGGCCCGGGGGGGGGGGCCAGATCAACTCAAAGGGCTCGGAAGGGTTCCACCCTGCACCCTCCAGCGAGGTGGTAAGGAGTTCACCATTGTCAGAGAGGTCGATTCCGTCCGTCCTCGGATGGGCGATCACAATTCTCCTCTGCGGCAAAGCTCCAGCTCGTAGAAAGCCGAGTCCCTCACTCATTTGCCACGATGAGAAGAGACACTACCAACCTTCGCGACTGAAGGCGACTGAAGTTGAAAAAGGATGACTCTGCTACGGCTCTGCAGCATCCGGAATTGACGTCGGTAGAACACACCCCGTCGCATGCACGCCGGCTACTTTCCTCCTGGCCTCTTGGAGAAGTGGTTGATATTTGCAATGAGGCCCTGGTAGGCGCCTCGGTTGCAGCGGAGGGGTTGTTTCGGAGGAGAAATGGAGGGGTTCCCATAGTAGGACGACCCTTGTTGGGAAATGCTCCATGTAAGACGAAGGGACATAAGAGCTAGGAGCTGGCAGAAAGGGGAGCGCACGCACTCACACCTCACCATGCCCGCATCACACCCACAAACCACCACTATCCACCACACACCAGCACACACCAGCACACACCGCCGCTCACCACCACACACCACCACGCACCGCCACGCACCGCGCACACCGCCGCACACCGCCGCACACCGCCGCACACCAGCCCATACACAACCCCACAAAGAACCACACACGCAACCCCACACTCACCACCACGCCCACTGGCCCACTGCACTCCCACCGCACCCCGCGCTCCCACCGCACGCCCATTGCACACCCACCGTGCACCTACCGCACGCCCACCTTGTGCTCACCGCCACATGCTGCCGCTGCCGCTGCCGCTGGCGCCGCCGCCGCTGCTGTTGCTGTTGCTGCTGTTCCGGTTATTGCTTGTGGCTGGGATCCGTTGATCAGTATTGACCCCACCCGACTCCCCCCCGAAAAAAAAAGAGCAGAACTCCCTCCCCCTATCCAATGATATTCCAATGATCGAATCAATAGCTCGCAGCTTTCCGGACCTTGTTGCTGAAGCAAGATCAAACTCAAACCTAGCTCCGGTGGCTTTTGTGACATGTCATGTCGAAAGCCGGAGCCAATGAACTCGGAACTTCGGCACCAGAACTTTTAACGAGCGCTTCCGAACGCGCGCTCAGGGCCACCCTGCAGGATGCCGACGAAATCTACGAACAACCCTACAACTTCGATAACAGCGCTCAGAGCCCAGCCTGTCTCCGGCATTTGAGAGCCACCACCCCAGACATCCGAGAAGTTCAGGGCAGAGGCCTCGTAAGCTGACCCGCGGAAGGCGGGGAACTGAAAAAATCTCCGAGCCCATGGCATACCAGGAGGTTTCCAGGAAGCCCTTCCTCTTCACGCGCCTCCACACCTGAACAGCGTTGAACAGCAACAACCCTCCGCAGTGTCGGGGTGTCACCAAAGGCTCACGCCTTCCTCGGATAGAAGTCAATTCCTCAAGACAGGGCTTCGAAAAGCATGAAGGGTATGAAGTTCCCAACCAATGGGACCAACGTAAGCAAGGAAAGAGGTGCCCAAGGTCGAACACGGACATGTGACAGAGCTGATGAGAAAGAATCCGAAGGTCCTGAAATGGTCACCGTCTCCAGGCAGTGGCAGCTCACAACCTCAGCAGCTTTGGGGTACTTGTGGTGCCCGAGCGCGGGGGCCCTGCAAGGCCCCGGTCGCTTCCTGCCAGCAAGGCACGGCCATCATCAGCTGAACCAGGTTGTAGTTCTCATGGGAGAACTCGTAGCGCCTTGAGGCTCACGGCTGCTGATCCTGCTTGTGTGCTGATCCTGCTAGTGTGCTGAACTGCCCCCGCCTGTCATCGTCTTTCTGATCCTCAGCACTGCACTCTTAGGCCATGAACGCCCATGAGACTGCAGGTTTTTTGAGGGTTTTTCTTGGGAGAATGTCTCATGGCCCAAAGCGAGCCGAGCATCCATGATGACCTTGTTCAGGGTGACGGTGTTCGCCAAAACCCTGTTGCCGAGACGGGTGACCCCTGAACCCTCAACCCAAAATCCTCAAAAGAACGAAGCTCCAAACAAAACCTAAACCCAAAAACCCCTTGAGCCGAAGCAACTGCGTAGCCAGAAGCAACCAACAACTTGGAGAGAAGAGGCTCTGTATTACCCCTAAACCCTCAACCCTCAACCCTGAACCCTAAACCCTAAACCCTAAACCCAAAAACGACTAGAGGTGGGCAGGCGCGGCCTGATGACTTCATGGATCTCAGGCATGCTGAAGTCCCAGAAGCTCAAGTTCCAGACACCTCGCTCCTCCGAACCCTAAACCCTAAACCCTAAACCCTAAACCCTAAACCCTAAACCCTAAACCTAGACCCCGGCAATCTGAGGTGCTCCGGGGCTTACGGGGTCTTTTGGGGGGTTTATAGTTTATAGCTTATAGCTTATAGCTTGTAGTTAGAGCGTTTTATAAGCTATAGTTATAGGGATTTTTGAGGTTATGGGGGCTGTCGGGTTTTTATTCTATATATGAGGCTTAGGGTTTCAGATTTGGGTGTTGGGGTATGGGGTTTGGCTTCGTACACTCAATCGCCCTACCACCACCAACGCCCAGCCCCTGCAGCCACTAAAGGCCCTAAACCCTAAACCCTAAACCCTAAACCCTAAACCCTAAACCCTAAACCCTAAACCCTAAACCCTAAACCCTAAACCCTAACCTGAATCCTCAACTAACCAGAATTGTGTGGAATGGTGCATTGATATGTCGATGCAGCAGCGGCTGCAAAGCGGCTCTCAGCGCAATGCTGCAAACCCGCTTTCAGACGAACCCTAAACCCTAAACCCTAAACCCTAAACTCTAAACCCAAGGAACCTTGTTTCTGCCTGCCCTGCGCAGCTCCTCTCCCCATCCATTCAGCGCATTCACGGCCTCCGACAGAAAGCCCTCTGGCACGTGCTTTGCTTGGGCGCCTGGCCAGATTCGACAGACATCCTTGCCCTCAGTCTCAAACCAAGATGATTACTACTCCGTTTATCATTACTAATAATGTTAATCGTATGAATAGAACTAATAATACATTAAAACTATTGCTATCATTATTCTTATTATTAGTAGTACAAAAGTGCACAGCTGCTAGCAGCCGCCATCCAGCGCACCCCGATGCCGCGCGCCTATGCTGATGAGCTTGCCCCGCAAATTATCATCATTCTCACCAAGCACCTGAGTGGCGGTTTAGGGTTTCGGGTTTACGGTTTAGGGTTTAGGGTTTAGGGTTTCGGGTCTCGGGTTTAGGGCTTAGGGTTTCCTGACTTCACTTCAGAGGCCAAACCGGGGACATTGCAGGGAGCTGGCCAGGAGCCACCCACTCCAGCTCCAGAGCATGCTGTCACATCTGGACTTTCAAAAGCTGGCCAGGCTAAACACAAAGGAAGTTATCTGCCTGGAGAACCAGCCAGGCCAGTCAGTGCTGTTAAAGAGCATGTCGATCGCCCAAAGGTTGCCGCACCGGATACGCACCAGCGACCCGAAAACCCTAAACCCTAAACCCTAAACCCTAAACCCTAAACCCTAAACCCAAAACCCTAAACCCTAAACCCTAACCCTAAACCCCAAACCCTAAACCCTAAACCCTAACCCCGCAGAGTCTGCAACTTGAGCTCCAGCAGAACCGCTGCCCAACTGGTATTTGAACAACACAACATTCACAACAATGAGCAATAATCATACCATCCTTACACTACACCAGAATAAGCAGAACAATAAGACAAACATTGGGCAGCCACTTCTATCCGAATCATGAAGTGACATCTTGGGGTTTACGATATTAGGGGTACCTTGTTGTGGATCCTTTGTATAAGCGGATCCTATGATTTGGGAGTCTAGATCCTTAATTTCGTAGTAACCCTAAACCCTAAACCCTAAACCCTAAACCCTAAACCCTAAACCCTAAACCCCCCCACTTCAGGCAAAGTTCTATCAGAAGCCGACATCGACCGAGGCCCAGGCTTTGGTGAACTCGATGCCCTCGTCCACCAACTCCTGCGGACAACGTGCTGCTTCTCGGGTTTAGGGTTTAGGGTTTAGGTTTTTAGGGTTTAGGGTTTAGGGTTTAGGGTTTAGGGTTTAGGGTTTAGGGTTTAGGGTGTAAGGTTTAGCGAGATCTCTGAGCTACTCTTGGGATGCCTGTGCTTCGGCCCAGCGCCCGAGCTTCACGTCCAGCAGCGCAGCGTTGTGGCAGGCAAGGGCAAGGTAGTAGGCCTCTTGACCCCGAGCTTGGACTGTAGTTCCGGGGGGGCAGGTCATACAAAGAGAGAGAACGATCCTTGCCGCATAGCATGAGAGTGCAGGATGCAGAACGGATACAGGCTAAAGGCCCGAGAAGGCCCCCCCACACATACATCCACACATCAAGATTCACCTGAAACGCCTAAACGCCTCAACCCTAAATCCCCACCTGTACCATCTCAGGGAGCTCCACATTCGAGAAGATGTTGTACATGAGGCCCAGCGCCTTCAGAAATGGCTGCTGACGTCAAATTCTCACAGCAAGGAGACGAATGCCATCATTTTGCCATCTTAAACCCAATGGCCCCACTTACCCTAAACCCTAAACCCTAAACCCTAGACCCTATTTTCCAGAGAACGCCACACGAGGCTGCGCAAGCCTCCAAGCCCCATCGAAGGCCGTGCTCGTCGTGGTCGATGTCGCCCAGCACCGCAGAGAGGTTCAGAAGCGTGAGGGCCTCGGTTCCCCGGAAACCCTAAACCCTAAACCCTAGACCCTAAACCCTAAACCCTAAACCCTCTTGCCAGACCAAGACTCACTAGACTAGAAGTACACCCAGGTAGGACAGTGCCGGAAGATGGAACCACTTGCCGCAAGAACCGGTCTCAAGCGAGCGGCGATGAGGAGCGGGTGCTGCTGCACTGTGTCTCCACCAGCCAGGCAGAGGCTCTTGGCCTCAGTGCTTTCGAACATCCCCTAAAAATGCCCACATCCAACAACCCTACTTCCACACCGAAAGGTGGGGAAATCACTGTACCAACACTGCCTCCTGCATCCAGGGCGCTTCGCCGAGAGCATCGATGGCCTCGGAACTGCCCTAAAATCCTCCCTGCATGCTTGCACTCTGCCAGCAGCAGGACTCTAAACACCCATCCGTTTGCAGACCTTGAACCCTTAACCTCAAGCCAGCCTGTTCCCAACATGGCCCTCCAAAGCTTCTTGCAAAGGGGCCCTTAACCCTTAAGCATGAAAAGCCCCAAGCCTTGGTGATTCTAAGAGGACCTGTAAAGGGGTTTAGGATTCGGGTTTAGGGTCTAGGGTTTAGGGTTTGGGGTTGAGGGAACCCTTAGTGACCCCTTAAAGGACGACTTTAAGGAAGCCCTCTTCCCAACATGCCCAGCACCGTGACTCGAATCTTTGAAGGGCCATGATATCCCTTTTAAAATCTAAGCCCCCCAGTTGAACAGAAGAGGCCATTTGGAAGGCAACCCTACAGTTGAGGGCCTAAACTCTCTGATCCCTGAACCTTAAACCCTACACCCTAAACCCTACACCCCAAGCTGCCTTCTGGAAGAACTTGATCCTTCTCGCAGCACAGGCCAGCACCGAGAGCGCAATGATCCTGGCGGGGAGGTGGAGGGGGGAATCAGGGATTCGAGGCTTCGTTCAGCAGCTTCGGGCGCCGAAAGAACTCCGAAACAACACCAAATCCTAAGCCCTAAACCCTAAACCCAAATTAAACCCTAAACCCCAAATCCTAAACCCCAAACCCTAAACCCCAAACCCTAAACCCTAAACCCTAAACCCTAAACTCCCTCTGCTCTGCACCTCATGAAGTCGAAGTCCGCGTCCGGGTCCGTCTGGAGCCGCGGTTCGCTTGACTTTGTGGCCGGGATGCACTGCCTGGGTCCCCCGTTCGCAGGGTGTTGGGGAGGTTAGTAGGGTTTAGGGTTTAGGGTTTAGGGTTTAGGGTTTTGGGTTTTGGGTTTAGGGTTAGGGTTTAGGGTTTAGGGTTTAGGGTTTAGGGTTTAGGGTTTAGGGTTTAGGGTTTAGGGTTATAGGGCTTAGGGTTTCGTGAACTCCCTCCCCCACCTCCCCCCACTTGATGCCAGGGCACTCGCAGAGCTTCATCGCGATGCGGGCCTCGCGCGCATCCAGGTACGCCAGCGCCATTTTGCAGTGCGTCAGGACTGCCTCCGGCTCTTGGCACAAACATCAGCGCACATCAGCGCTAGCCCCAAAAGGGCCCTTTTGGGCCCCCCAAAAGGAGCCCCCAAAAGGTGCCCTAAAGTGTCCCTCAAATCCCTACAGAACCCTAAACCCTAAACCCTAAACCCAAAACCCAAACCCTAAACCCTAAGCCCTAAACCCTAGACCCTACAATCCGGAAAGTTGGGACGTGGTTTGAGGGCGACTCGAGCTGGGACTCCCCTTGACTATGCCTTCTGGGGTATGGGGATAAGGATGTTCCATCCTAAACCCTAAACCCTACACCCTAAACCCTAAACCCTAAACCCTAAACCCTAACCTTAAACCCTAAACCCGAAACCAACCTTTTTGGAGTTCACCATAAGGGCCTCCCTGTGGTTCTGCTTGAACTCCGCATCAAAAGCCACGATTCCCATCTCGCAGTGCTTCAGCCTCCGACTCCCGGGTGTCAAAGCTTAGGGTTTAGGGTTTAGGGTTTAGGGTTTAGGGTTTAGGGTTTAGGGTTCAGGGTTCAGGGTTTAGGGTTTGGGGTTTGCGGTTTGGGGTTTGGGGTTTAGGGCTTGGGAGACACATGCTTGAGGGTTTCCAGGCTTTCGGGCTCTTGGGGGTTTGGTTCTGGGATTTAAGGCTTTTAGGAGGTCACAGGTACCTAAAAAACCTGGTGACTTGGAGGTTCGGACGCTGTTTGCGCGTGGGTTTTAGCTGCTCAAGCACAGTCTGCATGTACATTTTTCAGGAACACGAGAATTAGATTAGGATGTCCCACAGCAAGAAACACTGTAAAAAAAACCCGATGTTTTTTGAAGCTTTATCTTGTGGACCTGCAAAAATCTGAAATATATGACATAGAAGTATACATCGCTCCTTTCACTTCGGGCGTTCTAGTGAAAGGGCGCAATGGCGGCAAACAAGCACATAAAACCATGTTTTTACGATGTTTTACGACATGCACACAAGGGTCAGTTTTGTGCATTTTTGTTTTTTTCTTTTTATGTTGCTTCTGGTGGCAGTTGTTAGTAGTTCGAGCGTCATGACGACACACCGTTCGCATAAGCCTTGTGACAATGCGTCTTTTTACAGAAACGTCAAACGTCCTGGTGCAGCGTGTTGTTTAGACGGGCAAAAACGCTGTAAATATCGGTGTTTTGGGCATGGATAGAGTAACATGGTCATAACCAACCCCTCCCCTCCCCTCCCCCCCGCCAAAAAAAAAAACTCTCCAAAAGTTCACGAAACAACAAGGTTTTGTAGGTACCTGTTTCCTTTTAGGAATGATAGGATTTAGGGCTTCCAGGACTTCGAGGGTTTCTAGGACTTCTCGGGCTTCCGAAACTCCTGGGGCTTCTTCTAGAACTTCTAGGGCTTCCCAGTATTGAGGCTTTCTAGGGTTTCCAGGGTTTCTGGGAATTTTTAGGGCATAGGTTTAAGCTGTAGCAGAGTTTATAAAGTTTAGGGTTTGTAGGTTTGCTAGGACTCATGCCTTAGGGATTCTAGGATTCAGGGCTTAGGGTTTCTAGCATGTCGAGTTTCGGGTCTCAGGGGTTCTGACACCAGGCAGCTTCTCTATCTGGTGAGCCATGCGGTCTGCCATCAAGGTCGGCCACTTCCGGTGGTAAATCTCCTGAGCGCAAGTTTGCTTAGGAGCTCTAACCCTAAACCCTAACCCTAAATCCTAAACCCCAAACCTTACTGGTACGAACTCGCACTGCAGAGTCAGCATCTCTTTGCCAAGTTGCCGTCTGAAAATACAACCTTGGCATCTCACGGGCCATCCCACAGCATCTCGCAGGAATGTGCCACAGGGTAAGGGCGCCGAGTCTTACTGTTGGTGAGTAGGGAATGAGGGAATGAGGTACCCTACAGAATCCTTTAAAGGGTATATATAGGGGGATAGAGGGTACCTCCTTCCCGCATTCCCTACTCACCAACAGGAGGAAGTCCGCCCTCTCAGCGCCTTCAGAAGTGATCCGAGGGGCTTGTTGGTGTAGCGCTCATCACCCAGCTCGACAGGTGAGAAGTACCTCACAGCAGGGTTCAGGACAAGTGTTTACCTTAAACCCTAAACCCGAAACCCGAAACCCTAAACCCTAAACCCTAAACCCTAAGCCCTAAACCCTAAACTATCGGCTTTCTGGGCTCGAAGTGCAAGTCCCTAGGCTAGACTTCCGTGAAGCGGCATGATCTCGTAAAGAAGGGCATCTTCAACCTCGGAGGCATCTTGCCAGGAAACAAGACAAATTGCGCAGGGGTGTATGTAGGGTTTAGGGTTTAGGGTTTAGGGTTTAGGGTTTAGGGTTTAGGGTTTAGGGTTTAGGGTTTAGGGTTTAGGGTTTAGGGTTTAGGGGGTTTAGGGTTTAGGGTTTAGGGTTTAGGGTTTAGGGTTTAGGGTTTAGGGTTTAGGGTTTAGGGTTTAGGGTTTAGGGTTTAGGGTTTAGGGTTTAGGGTTTAGGGTTTAGGGTTTAGGGTTTAGGGTTTAGGGTTTAGGGTTCTGGCGGGGATGTACATGACCTCTGAACTCAAGCCAAGCCACGCCATCTCGCGTGATTCTCATCACCTCCGGCCCAACGGTCTTCGCCGGGCCAGTTGACGAGTGGACTCCAATCTACTCCAAACGAGCTCCTCCTTGGATTCTGTGGCTTTCTTGGGAAAATGCCCACAAAGCTTCTCTAAGAAACTCAAGAGACCTCAATGCCCTGGCTTGAACCAATAGCACAGAAGGATAGATGTCGGCCGACACTCCGAAGTCTGTCGCGTTCCGAATTGGGTCGTCCCTCGTTCAGGAACACTCCTCTTCTTATGGATCTCATTATTTTTAAGGAATGGTCTCTCCAAGCTCCAGTGGACCTCATGTTTTACGTCCGACATCGTGGCATGTACTACTGTTCACTGCCAACCACGCCAGCGTGCCTTGACTTCCCTTTGTTCGGTTCATCGATTTACTTGAAGACGCTTCTAGCTGCATCATCCCTGACCTACAGGCACGGGGTCAATGGCCATGTGAAGCATCGGAACGGCAAAACCTAAAACAAAACACTCTGTTTCTCTGTCTCTGTGCTTGTATGTGTGCGAGTGAGCGTATTTCTCCGTCGCGGTCTCTGTTTCTTCTTCTGATTCATATTCTTATTCTTCTTCTTTTTCTTCTTCTTCTTCTCTGATTGCATCAGGGCCGAAACCCTCGCGTATCTTTCTCCATCTCTCTCTCTGTCTCTCTCTCGCTGTCTCGCTCGCTCGCTCACCCGACACAAGCTTTCGGGGTTGCAGATGGCTACAGCGTCTGGCCATCGACTCTGCCATCTCATTCAAGTGTCACCATCGACCCTGGGCAAGTAAAAACTGCATCATGGCGTTTTCTAGCTCATGGTTGGGATCGTATTAAAAACACTTCAATTTCTATCCCTGATGGAATTTACGCACCCTTAAACATGTAAACTGCTATGCTACCCACAATGACAAGCTTTATGCTGCGGTCAGCTTCTGGTTGCTTCTGCTGTTGTGGAGCCTGTGAGCGGCGGTGCCTTCGGCACAGGCCCTTCACACGCAAGCTTTGACAGCTGGCTCCGCTTTCAGGGAGCTACAACAGGCTCGAGCACCATTGTCCTTCCTCTTCTTAGCTGAGATCTGCCTCAAGCGGATTACAACATAAGTACAACAAGCTCATACTATCCGAAGGCGCTAGCAGGTGCTAGGTGATGCCATCAACTTTCAGATCAGGAACCCGCCCCTCCTCTGTTAAAATGTAGAGGAAATGCACAGAGCCACTTTTCTCACCAGCCAGGCAGCCCTACAGCAACCACGGTGTGTTGAGTGTCTTCATGTCTCTTAGGGGTGGCATCTTCTGCCTGGCCTCGGAGCTGTTCTGTTGTGACGGTTTGATGTCGCAGCTGCAGCGGGGTCGCTCCCACTGCGAGATATATTGCAGCGAATCAGTTCGACCAGGGATTAAGGATCCCATGCTTCACTTCGATTCGCGCACGGCTTGCGGCGTCTACTCTAGCCGCTCATGATGGGGTGTTGCAGGACAGCCCTAAACCCTAAACCCGAAACCCTAAACCTTAAACCCCACACCCTAAACCCCAAACCCTAAACCCGAAACCCCACGTGCAAAGATGGGTCTGCAGACCTGCGGCTTCTTGGGCTGCGAGCGCAATCAAAGGCTTACGAAGAATAAACCCTAAACCCTAAACCCTAAACCCTAAACCCTTTCGCGGCCCTTCCCATTCAGAAGCCGTATGGCACCCAGCAGCTGTCCAGGCCTAGTTCATGGTTGGGATAATCTTAAAAATTTAAATTGCTATTCTTTCTTGGGTTTAATAAGTACCCTTAAAAATTTTAAATTGCTATTCCTTATTGGGTTTAAGCACCCTTAAAAGCTTTAAATTGCTATTCCTTATTGGGGTTAAGCACCCTTAAAAATTTAAGTTGCTATTCCTGATTGGGTTCTTAAGTACCCTTGAAAATGCGAAATGTTACCCAACTAGGACAAAGATACCTTTACAGCAAGCTGCCCCCCTTTCTCAGACTTGCCTTTAACTAAGCAACAGGCCGGGGTGACAGGGTACGGGCTTTGGGAGAACTGGCAGCTGCCAGGAATGATCACGGAGATGTTTCCTCCTCTGTCTGCTTTCCACATTCACGTAGCCTCAGGTGCTCTGCACGCCTTCGAAGTGGGATGATCTGACGCCCTAGATTGCGGCCATTTCTGCCACAATGCCGGCAGTGGCTCGCACTGGCACCAGAAAAGCCACACAGGGCAGCCAGGTATATGTTTCATGAATGCAAAGAGGCGCAGGAAGAATCAAGCGAATGCTCTGGCAGACGCCCCTGAGGCCACGGAGCGGAGCTGCACAGAAAAACCGATGCGCTGGCAGTTCAAACAGCCAGGCAGAGCCGAGCACCAAACAATCGCACAAGATGCACATTGGAATTGGCGGCAAAGCCATTCCCGATGGCTCCATCAAAAAGTAACTTCAAACAAATCTCAAAGTTGGTCAAGTCTGGTCAAGGACTGCTCCCCAAGACGATCAATCGCAGCAAATAACTGCCCTAAACCCTAAACCCTAAACCCTAAACCCTAAACCCTAAACCCTAAACCCTAAACCCTAAACCCTAAACCCTAAACCCTAAACCCTAAACCCTAGCTCGGCTGCTCCAGTTTTCTTCTTGGGTGCAATCACTGCAGTCCGAATAATTTTAACGAGCGGACAGGTAGTCCAAGGAAAGCTGTCCAGCATTCCCTTTTCGCAACATATGGCAAGGTGGTCTACACACAATCCTCTGATGGTTCTTGGGGTGGTTCCAGGGCCACTCTTGGTGCTGGCTCAGTGAAACCCTAAACCCTGAACCCTAAACCCTAAACCCGAAAGTCCGCTCTGACTCTGCGAATTCAAGTGCAGCGGATGACTTCGAGAGTGCTATGCCAGCTGCTATGCCTCTCGCAGCCCCCTCAGATACAGAACGAGAGCCTCGGTACGTCTCGGCTAACTTGGAACCAGGTAGGATGTTCACTTGTGTCCCCAAGGGGACAACCCATCATACACTCGCACCCTAAACCCTAAACCCTAAACCCTAAACCCCAAACCCCAAACCCTAAACCCTAAACCCTGATAAGGAACCCTTGTGCACACTCATCAAATACAATGGCCCACACCCCAGCTGCTGATCCGAAGAGCGGGCGCTGCCCTCGTTTCTGCAGTCAGCCGCCTACAGTAGTTACACCACCTCTGAGTTTCACCTTGTAGGGTTCAGGGTTTAGGGTTTAGGGTTGAGGGTTTAGGGTTTAGGGTTGAGGGTTTAGGGTTTAGGGTTTAGGGTTTAGGGTTTAGGGTTTAGGGTTTAGGGTTTAGAGTTTCGGGGCGTCGCAGTTGAGCAGCTTCCTGGCGAGGGCCGTCCGTGCCGCCTCCACTGCCACGAGGAGGTCCGCAGCCTCGCCTTCAAAAAAGAAAAGAGGGTTTAGGGTTTAGGGTTTAGGGTTCAGGGTTCAGGGTTTAGGATTTAGGATTTAGGGTTTAGGGTTTAGGGTCTAGGGTTTAGGGTCTAGGGTTTAGGGTTTAGGGTTTAGGGTTTAGGGTTTAGGGTATGATTGCTCGGGATGTTCCCTCTTATACTAACAGTCCTTCATAGGGACTATAGTACCCCCAATCAAAACCCCGATTAGGGACGGTTAGTATAAGGGGGAGCATCCCAGATGATTCCTGCAAACATGACTCAACCTAATTCAAGATGATTGAACCCACATGGGCTTCGTGTGAAGTTTAGGGGTTTTTTGGAAGAGAGGAGGATCGGGGAAATTGTTTCTTTCCCAGGTCCCTAAACCCTAAACCCTAAACCCGAAACCCTAAACCCTAAACCCTAAACCCTCACGAGCCTTCGGATAACGTCTGCCGGAGCAAGCCCAGCAGCCCAGCGAAGCTCATCCTGCGGAAGGCCTCTTTTGGGCTTTGGGGGGGTTTAGGGTTTAGGGTTTGGAGTTTAGGGTTTAGGGTTTAGGGTTTAGGGTTTAGGATTAAGGGTTTAGGGTTTAGGGTTTAAGGTTCAGGGTCTAGGGGGTTAGGGGTTTAGGGTTTAGGGCTTAGGGCTTAGGGCGTAGGGCTTAGGGTTTAGGGTTCAGGGTTTAGGGTTTAGGGTTTCGGGTTTAGGGTTTAGGGTTTAGGGTTTAGGCCTCTTTTGGGCTTGGGGGGGGGGAACCGGGAAGGCTCGGTGTGGCACCCAAGAAGCTGGGCCTTTCATAGCATTTTTTGCTTGTTTTGGGGTGGGGGGGACCCTAAACCCTAGACCCTAAACCCAAAACCCAAAACCGTAAACCCTAAACCCTAAACCCTAAACCCCATTGTTGCGAGGCGGGGTCCTTTCACAATGTCAGGACTCTCGGCTTGGGCAGGCCAGGCAACAAGGCCAAGGCATTGGCATCTCGACCCTTCTTGTAGTGGGTGTAAGGTTTAAGGTTTAGGGTTGGGGCTTAGGGCTTAGGGTTTAGGGTTTAGGGTTTAGTGTTCAGGGTTCAGGGTTTAGGGTTTAGGCTTTAGGGTTTAGGGTTTAGGGTTTAGGGTTTAGGGTTTAGGGTTGTTGCCACAGATGCCACAGGTTCCAGAGGGTTCTGCAACGTCCCCCCCCCCCCAACTGCCTTTCGAAGCTTCCGCCTCAGCCGAGCAAGACCCGCTAGCCTAGGGTTTAGGGTTTAGGGTTTAGGGTTTAGGGTTTAGGGTTTAGGGTTTAGGGTTTAGGGTTTAGGGTTTAGGGTTTAGGGTTTAGGGTTTAGGGTTTAGGGTTTAGGGTGTAGGGTGTAGGGTGTAGGGTGTAGGGTGTAGGGTGTAGGGTGTAGGGTTTAGGGTTTAGGGTTTAGGGTTTAGGGTTTAGATGCATCTCCTCCTCGCAAGCTGGCGAATCCGACCCCGGGATAGGACATGCTTAATTTAAGGTTTTTGTTTTTTTTAAACGTTAAAAAAAAACTTGATTTAAGATTCTTGAGGCTTCAGTCTGCGGCTTGGCTTTGACATCTCTGATTCCAACTTGAGCCACTCGAACTTCCCAGCAACTGGCTCAGGATTGCCAGCGCAGATCAGCTGATGGGAAGCGAACTGAAGTACTTCCTTGGTACAACCATCCAGCACACTTGCTCAAAGTTGTCTTTCCGATCTAAGTCACGCACCTGCGTGGTGTCAGAAAGGCCTTTCTCGTCAGCCATTCGAACCAGGTGTGGGACAAGGAGGGATAACCTCAGCTGAACCAGGGCTTAGCAACCCCAAACACTAAACCCTAAACCATAAACCCTAAATCCTAAACCCTCAACCCTAAACCCTAAACCCTAAACCCACACTCCCAGGTACAGCCGGAATACATCTGCGCTTTGGAGAGAAGTCTGGCGGCCTCCCGTTGGCTCTTGTCCTTGCGTGGTATGAATGCAAGCGCGACAGGTTCTGAGAAGAGCAGTCTCCACCAAAGACCCGCCAGTCAAAGGGTGTTCATTTGGAATGTTCCCCCTTACACTAACAGTCCTTAATAGGGACTGCCATAGGGGGTACTATCATCCCTGTTAAGCACAGTTAGCTTAAGGGGGAACATCCCACAATAGGAAGCCCTAAACCCCAAACCCCAAACCCCAAACCCCAAACCCTAATCCAAGATTCCAGGGCAATGGGCCGGTCTTCGTGTGATAGATGACAATACTGGCATTCGTAGCCTCAGTGAAAGCTTTCGCAGGGAGACCGGGGAAAGGGACGAGGGGTGGCCGCAACACCTTTCGTGCGCACGAAATCGGGTTTAGGGTTTAGGGTTCAGGGTTCAGGGTTTAGGGTTTAGGGTTTTGGGTTTCGGGTTTAGGGATAGGATGACCAACCGTCGAGCGGCCACTTTGGCACCGGCCCCGTGCAAAGAAGAGACACGGCCGATGGCCTGGGCAGAAAGCCGCACAGAATTCAGGGGCAGCCAGCACCACAAAAGCTGACGCCTTTTCCGTCTGCTGCCAAGGCTCACAACTCTGGATGCCCATGACTTCCTTCAACTGACAACTAGGGTTGAGGGTTTAGGGTTTAGGGTTTAGGGCTTAAGGTTTAGGGTTTAGGGTTGCAGCACCATGCCTCAAGTCTCACAAGGCGGCTTTAAGATGCCAAACACGGCTCGGCTGCCCCACTCCCTTTGTTCGGTCCTTCTGTTGGTGAGCGCAAGGGTCCCTCATGGACCTCTGAGTCTCGATGCGAGAAACGAATGCAGCCAAAACATGTCGAGCAGAGCTCCTGTGATGAGCAAAAACGACAAGCAGATCAAGCAGTGAGAGACAGAGAAAGCGAGAGGAAGGAGAAGTCCAAACAAAAAGGGAACGAAACAAGAGCGAGAGCCCGAGCCAGAGCAAAAGCTCGGCAAGAGCCGCAAGAAGAACAACAGGTCCCAGTGGCTTCGGGGATCACCTCGGACACTACACCGATGGAGGTCGTCGATAAATCGATTTTCCAGGGGATCGTGTCCTTCAAGCACTGTGCACGGCTTGCTGCTCAGGTTTGACAATCATACCGAAGGCCACAACGTCATGCAATTTGAAACAGCGCCCCCTAAACCCTAAACCCTAAACCCTGAACCCTAAACCCCTCTCATAGCCCGGCCTCCATACTTGCTTTCAGCACCAGGCCCCTTACCGTCACGTACGCGGGTTCCCAGGTCCCATGCCTGGCCAACAGCACTTTTTCTTGGAGAGCTTTCGGCATCTACGGCCGGCCCTAAACCCTAAACCCTAAACACGAAACCCTAAACCCGAAACCCTAAACCCGAAACCCTAAACCCTAAACCCTATGCGGAGCTGCAGTTTGTATTCAGGAATTGTGTTGAGGTTTAAGGAAAAGGGTCAATGCACCCGCTATTGTTTGGCTCAAGGATGGCCAACAACCAAGGCCTTTCGATAAAAAAGGTAGAGCCCGCAGGGTTGGGGTTGGGGTTTGACCCTAAGAGCCTAGGCGTAGGTGCCCTCTACTCCCTTCCCCGGTTCTCCTTATCCGTGTTTTGGGTTTGTCTTTTGGTTCGGTCTGGGGAATAAAATTTCCGGGCTTCTGTTGGGGTTTGCTCCCTTTCCCCTTCGGTTGCCCCCCGTACCCTAAACCCTAGACCCCAGCCTGAGCTCATCCTGCACAAATGCCATGACCAGCTCAAGTTGGGGCAGCTTTGGTCTGGGCCACAACGCTGCAACAACCGGTTCGACTTTGTCATTCTGACAAAGCACCGCGTGCTTCATCGCCGCCACACGAAAGATCTCCAGCAACTGGATGACATGCCACGCATGCTGCACATTAGTGACAAGACTCCAAGAATGTCAAGACGAACCTTTTGCCACAAAAGCAGCGGGTCGTTGGTCTCACTACGCAGTCCTGCACCATCACATGTAATTCACAAGTTCTGCAGGCTGCGGACGTTGAGGATGCTGTGACGCATTTCCACACCCGGAAAAGATCAGAATTCATTATGCTCATCGTGCTAAACTGTCTCTGCAAGTTTGCCCCGCTACTGGGCAAGGGTTGCCAGGCGCCTTGACTCGTTGCAGCAGGTAAGCCTGAATGGCCGCAAAACAACATCCTGCCTTTGGCAGCTGAGAAACACAGCGTTGACTAGCCAATGACATGGCCCAACCGCAAACAGGTGGGACGCAAAGCGAAAACAAGGCGATGCAAAGCCAAAACTCGTGGCGACTGTACAGAAAATGCACTTGGATCTTCCGTGCACCAGTGCACTTCAACGTGCAGACCGCAAAGCTGTAAGCAGCAATCAGTCGCAAAGCTTCACGAGCAGAAGTGATAAGATGAAGAACCCTCGGCGTGACAGCGTTGGCTTTGGGATGTCCCCCCTTAATACGAACAGTCCTTCATAGGGTATCCCTATTAAGGACTGCTAGTTGGACTTTAAAAAGTGAACCTGGAAATCTTTGTGAGCGACAAGGCTGGGGGAGGGGGGGGGGGGGGGGGGGGCGCAAGGAGGGCATAGGACCCTAAACCCTAAATCCTAAACCCTAAACCCTAAACCCTAGGCAGCTGACTGGCGGGATGCAGCTTACTTCTGCACTCGTTCTGCCGCAGAAACATCACAAATCCAAATGCCCGTGGATTCGAAATAAACACGAGCGCGATTGAACCCTAAACCCTAAACCCCAAACCCTAAACCCCAAACCCTAGCTAGGTATGGAACTCTAGCTTAAAGCATTGCCAAAGGCCAAATTCGGCCGAAAGCTTACATGGTGACAGTTGAAGATCATGAAACCCTAAACCCTAAACCCTAGACCCTAGACCCTAAACCCTAAACCCTAAACCCTAAACCATCCAAGCCGCCCGCACGTATTAACTCCCGAAGAGGCACATCACCTGGGCATGCATGACTGCTGTCTTAACCTTTACTTCCTCCTAATTTTAAACCCCCCCCTAACACCCTAATATTAACAACCCCTTTTAGTTCTATTAACATTAGGGGGTAGGGGGGGAGTTAATATTAAGGGGAAGGGATTAATCTTTACTTCCTCGTGCCGTTTCCAAAGGCGAAGTCCATAGCAGAAGCCCTTGAGACGCCAAAGAGAACGTATCCACCCAAGTGGAACCGAGTCCTTTGGTGGGGGTGCCATCCCAAACAAGATGAAGAATGTTCTTGGGCCGAACCACTGCCAGCATTGTGGCGAGCCCATGAACTCACGAAGACCTGGACAAAGTAGAAGCATGAAGTCAACAGCACCATGGCGGGGCTTAGCCTTGGATGTCCGCAACAACCGGGAATTCCCCTGCTCACTGTTCCCAAAGCACCCTTGATACACGGAGATACCTCATACAAGGAAACTATAGCCAGGGTTTAGGGTTTAGGGTTTAGGGTTTAGGGTTGAGGGTTGAGGGTTGAGGGTTGAGGGTTTAGGGATTAGGGTTTAGGGTTTAGGGTTTAGGGTTTAGGGTTGAGAGGTGAGGGTTTAGGCATGTCTAGGGTTTAGGGCTTACGGTTTAGAATTTCCGGTGTAAGGTTGGGGGGGGGGGGGGGGGGCACACCTGGGCACAAGTGAGGTGAAGCACCGATAGATGACCTTCCAGTCTGCAACTGAGCAGCAACGCAACAGCACATCTCAGGGGCATGCGCTTCTGAAGCCACACGCAAACTTTGCAGATGCGGAAGAGCAGCCACATCATAAACAGCATAACGTTGAACTGCCCCACCCACTGCGCCAGCATTAGCTGTATGACAGCCCAAACCCTGTCCGCCGTATCATCGCCGTGGTCCCTGCTGGTGATCGCGATCACTGCATCGAGCAGACCAGGAGTGGACGTTACCAAGGCCAGGTACAGCTTGTACTCCAAAGGCACCACCATGCGACCGGCACGTCCCAGGACAAGCTTTGACACCTTGGTGCGGACAATGGTGTTGAAGGTCTCCGAGAACCTCTCGCCATACCACGTCCTGACCAGGCTTCTATTTCAAGCTTCCCTAGCTTGTGCGGTGACGCTTTGAAATACACGGACATTCAAACAGATAAACCAGGTGTTTCACAACTACCTCCATACTGAATTGGGCGTGGCCGCCCGAAGCCCTACCCTCCACTCCTAGAGTGTAGTCATCCACGGTGGACAACTCTACAACACAGCGCCCCCGCGATAACAAAAAACACCAAATAATAATGAATAATCAAACGCAAAGCGGCGAAAACAAAAAAACTATAATTGAAATTGTCCATTCGCTTCACTCACTAGCCAAAGTATTATAGTTAATGCCGTGCATACGAATAATGTTTTCATTGGCGCGCCAATCTAAAAACACTAAAAGCCTTTAAAATGCTGTACCAAAAAGGGCCTCATAAAATATTAGTAGTTATTTAGCCCTTTGCTCACTTTATGCTGGAATCTGCACGGGCTGTTGAGGACCTCAAAAACGTAGTGTCTGGCCACCGAAGCCCGGTGGGGGGTGGCCCCAATTTGCACACACCCTCGCTGGACCCCCTACACCCTGTTGTTCAACCTTACGGTTGGTAAGAGACTCGGCTAGCTCCCACGGGCTAGCTTTCGTGACTTGCCGCAGAACTAAGCACCCCGGTCCTCAGCGTCTCGTAGATCATAGCCCTGTCACATGCCAAGACTTCTCCCGTTTCAGGGTTCACGTGGTCGTTGCTGCAGCAGAAGCACTCAGCATTCTCAATGGAGAATTCGCTGAGCTGTTGTTCCAGGCTCTGGATATGGGTCATCATCTGCGCTCCAAAGTAGCATGCAGCGGGCAAGAATGAAGCAAGAAGACCTGAATTGATGGCTAGCGAAAGCGCGAAAATGTTCGGCCGAAACATGCCTCCGTTCGCTCCATTGTTGTTCGTCGGTGACCGCAGCAGGATATTCTGCACAATCTCCTGAGCAAAAGGCGAGAAGGGCAGGGCTACCGGGTACTGCTTTTTGCAGGCAAGCCGATTGTGTTTCTGCTCATCTCAAGATTAGAACAGCCCCTTAGCATTCTCGGGAAAGCCGATGTAAACATAAGCCACATTGCAGTTCAAAGCAAACAGAAAGACAACAACGGGTTGGCTTCGTTGAACCCGGCATCATAAGCTGTGAGCGCCGTCGATCCGCTGAGAAAAATCAGCAGCAAGAGCAGTGAAACTGCCACAGGCATCAGCTGCATGGGCTTCAGCCGCTCTGGGTGTCGTGCGTAGGCAGCCAGCTCATAGGCGCACCACCTCAAGATGGAGTTCTTTGCTAGGGTTTAGAGTTTAGGGTTTAGGATTTAGGGTTAAGGGATCCGCAAACAGGAGCTTGCCGGAATAGGACCAGCACAGAATGGAGAAGCAGTAAGGCGGGGGCATATTGCGTCACGCAACTGCAGATGCAGCAGCCAGATGGGTTCAGAAAAGACATGGACTGCAGCAAGCATGTAACCAAAACACAAGACGAAGGAACACATCCCGGCAGGCCCCCCCGTGCCCCAGCAGTCTGGATGACTTAAGCAAGCATACAAGACATGTGAGATCAGTGCTAACCTCAGCCCCGATGGATGAGTAAAGTGCTCCAAGACTACAATCCCCAGGCTCCATAGAGCTCCTGTTGTGCCGCAAGACTGGAGAACACAATGGCAAGTGCACTGGAGAATCACAACCTCTTGCCCAGCCACAGGCGAGTGAAGTACCGCGGCGACCACAAGACCACCAGTGATGTAGACGCATCCAGGAATGCTGCAAGGCCCTTAATGCCGGCTGCTCGCAGCTCTGGGTCCTGTTGCGAAATGCAAAGCTTGTCCAAGAAGATGGTGGTGGCACGGAAGATCTTGCGCACACGCTGCCTCGGCATCGTTGGGGGGGCCTCGCGCTCATAAGATGCTCTTGGCATTGAATGGGAGATGGGCAGGCGCGATTTTCAGGCTTGGAAGGCCTCAACTTGACGAATGGGACCCCATATTTGGTGAAGTTTTGTTCAGCTGTGTTGTTGCTTATTCCGCCGGCTTAGATGGGGAGGGGGGAAAGCATGACAAGGCTTCAGAAACTGCTTTCAGGGCATTGGAGCGGCCAGAAGCAAAGGACGACGCAGAACATGACGTAGGGGATGACGTAGTACCAACTCTCCAACTCGACTTGTTCGCCTACGAGGCATCAGGCTGCACATCAACACCGTGAGAACCAGATTCTCATAGTGTGCAGAAGCATCAGGTGTAAAAGTAGCCCTAAACCCTAAACCCAAGGCCCTAAACCCTAAACCCTGAAGAAGCCGGAAGGAGTTTGAGCGTGGCTTCAGGTCGGGAGTAGGCTGGAGATGTTCGAGTTTGGGGCTCGGAGAGCGGATGGAAGCTTTGGAGCTCATTCAGCCACTTATTAATCAATTGACTTACTAGTCACTTGCAGCTGTACTTGTAACCCACTTATAGGAACTGATTAGCTCATAAGCCCCTCAAGTGCCCTATCTAAACCCTAAACCCTAAACCCTAAACCCTAAAACCTAAACCTGGTCGCCTCCAAATCTCCCGAGAAGGAAGCCTAGAAGAATGGTCGCGATGACCGTGACCACTGTTGCGGCACGCAGGTTGAAGATGATCAGCAGCGACATGAACTTCAACCACCGGGAGGTTCGCCAGTCATGGCTTAGGAAGACATCCAATGCTTCGACCATGAAGCCTCAGGTTCCCCAAGTACCAATCAGAGGGTTTAGGGTTTAGGGTTGAGGGTTTAGGGTTTAGGGTTTAGGGTTGAGGGTTGAGGGTTTAGGAGTAGGAAATCGGCCTCCCAAACCTGCTTCGGACGAAGGATCAAGACCCTCAGTACTAGCAAGAGTCTAATGCTCACGCAAGTTAACTTTGTGACTACACGAGCTTCCTTCTGGCAACGCGGGATAGCACAGAAGCACTCGACAAACTCAACAACAGCGTCACCTGCACACGTACCATGTCGAAAATCGTGCATCCACAGTGCCAACAATTTGGCTGGCTGGTCCATCTTCGGACTATGTAGGGTTTAGGGTTTAGGCTTTAGGTTTTAGGGTGTCTCAATGAGTGGGCGCGCTGGTGCTGAAAGCACCCAGGCGCGCGCCCCGACTTGCATAAGCCCACCCGCGCTGGCGCTCCACCCTCGCCTTAACCTTTACGGGTTGAGGGTTCTTTTGAACTCTGATCGCGCTTTTGTTACTTTTCTCTTGTCTATTGGTTGGGTTTGCTCGGCATCGATGCAGATCAATTACCCTGAGGTTCGCAGCCCCTTGGCGTTGCAAGGGATGATGTCTATCATTCGAGGAAAAATCAGAGGTATGGGCTTGGAGTTAGCTGCCGCCTTCGCCCTTGGCGATGCTGCGTCCTTGTTGGGGATTTGGAAGACTTCATGGAAGGGCCTGAAGTCAGAGGTTTGGGATGGGGGTTGCTGCCGCCTTTGCCCTCGCTGATGCTGCATCTGGAAGGCCTCGCTTGGGAGGCGTAGTGGCGTTGTGATGCCTTCTAAAAGCGCCAAAAAGTCAGAGGTTTGGGATTGGGGCTGGCTGCCGCCTTCGCCCGTGGCGCTGCTGCATCCTGGCTGGGATTCTGGATCACTTGCTTGAAAGGGCCTGGTCAGAGGTTTGGACTGGGTTGCTGCCAGGCAGGGCCCTCCAGGCAGGGGCCTCCCAAAGCAGGCAGGGGCCTACAAACCCTCCAGGCCCTCCCAAGCGCCTGCCGCCTGGCACGCCTTGAGGACCTCCAAACCTGCCTTTCCTGGAACCCTTCTCTGGGACCTTGCCTTTGCAAACTGTTTTCGTGGTTGAAAGCAGGGGCCGGCCGAGGCCCCTGCTTCCCCCTACCGCTTTGCTGCATGAAGCCCCGCGATCCAGGATTTGCCCAGACCGTAGTGAAAATGTTGGTTTTTTAGTATTGCAATCGACGGTTTTGGACACCCTCCATTTTACTCCGTGAAAGCCCCCCTTGAGGGGGGTTTGGGGCGTGAACCCTAAACCCTGGTTGGGGTGGGACTACATGCTAACGCAAGCGAGCGGCCCGGGTGCTTTTAGCACCAGCGAGCTTCCCTTCTATACACCCTAAACCCTAAACCCTAGACCCTAAACCCTAAACCCTAAACCCTATACCCTAAACCCTAAACCCGTAGAACAACCCCCGGTCCGAAGCAGCGACGGCCAACTATGCAAGGCACCATCTTCGACAAGAGGCTTTCTTCAGAGAACTTCTCCGATGTCTGAGCTGACTGGGAAGCGCCATGTGCAAAGGACCTTCCGAAGCCCCTCAGAGACGCTTCGAGGTGTACCCCACGCAGCAGGTTGGCCTCAAGGGTTTTAGGGTCCAGAGTGCAGGGATGTGTAGGGTACAGGGTCGAGGGCTGAGGGTCATTCGTGTAGGGAGGGATATGGGGGTCTACGATACTAGGGGTACCTTATTACAGTCCGTTTTCACGGGATTCTATTCCGTTTAAGGGTATTCGCGGGGCACCCCCCCATTTTGGGAAATACCCATATACAGAAGCATCGCGGAATCACTGATGATGCATACATTGGGATGTTCCCTGTTCCCCCTTGTACTAACAGTCCTACTATAATCCCTATTGAAGACTGCTAGTATAAGGGGGAACATCCCAAAGCATATAGTTAGTTGGTGGACGAAGTTCATGGTGCGGAGTGAGTCGTGGGAGAGAACCGGAAGTGAAACATGAAGCGGTGTTGGACAATTAATGTGATGGATCACGTGCTGAAACACATCAGCGACTGCTTGTCGTGCTCTCCACGTACAGAAGCCACTACGACATTCTTCAACACTCTCGTCTCACAAACCCGGCTTCCCATACCACCCTGGCCGCACATGGTCCCCACTTCATGTACAATCCAACCTCCAGTCTCGTCGTGAGCGTTTGTTTGCTGATCTCAGTGTCCACAGTGCGGACCTGCATGGGCCACACCACCCCAGCTTGCTTGTCGGGCCTAACACGAAAGTCCTAAATCCCCATCCCTTAACCCTGAACCCGACACTCTCTCTCTTCAGTCACTGTTGAATGGGGCGTTTCAACAACAACCTGGACAACCTGAACCCTAAGCCCTAAACCTGAAGCCCTAAACCTGAAGCCCTAAACCCTAAACCCTGAACCAAAGAGGCCACAAAAAAAACAGCACAATCAAGACTTCCGCGCCTCGGACCCCAAGAAGGACTCCACGACCAAGCTGCCCTTCGACACGACAGGGGTTTAGGGTTTAGGATTTAAGGTTTAGGGCTTAGGGCTTAGGATTTAGGGTTTAGGGTGTCGGGCTTGGGGAGGTTTATGATCAGGGTCCTAGGAAGCAGCTCTGATCACTGTTGCTTTCTAAGGTGAGTGGCTTCTTCCCTGTGTTTGTCCCCGTGTGCAGGTAACCCAACGGCTGCAGAGGATGTAAAGCACGAGAAAACCACAAACCCTCAACCCTAAACCCTAAAAAAACCCGAAGGGCCTCTTAGAGATGTTGACGGAGAACCTTGACAAAGGTCTTAACCACTCGAGCAACCGTTCCCAGGATGTGTGCGGAAGAAACTTTCCCTGGCGGTGCAGTGGAAAGCCTAAACCCGAAACCCTAAACCCTAACCCGAAACCCTAAACCCTAAACCCCAACATGACAAAGAACGGGATCGACGACCGAGCTTGAGGAGAACATGCTTGTTTGCAGAAGGGGTGTGAAGCTTGCGGGACCTTTGTGGCCTCAGTATTGACCTCATTACAGACTGGCAGCTAGGATTAGTTGCACCGCTTTAATTGGGATGAGCATCCTAAACATAAGGGCCCGCACTATGATAGGTTCTAAAGAGACCCTAGTCCCAAAGTGAGCTGGCCTCAGATACCGGAGCTTCGGCAAATCTGGCTGTGCTGGATTTCGATGGCATTCTCGCTGATCTTGATGCTTCCTGCTTGTTTTTGGATCCAAGGCCTTTGAGATACGACATTCAAGAGGGAATTTCGGAGCCATGACATATAAGACTCTTTATCTTGCCGCGTACCAGTAGTTCTGGGACAGTCCCCAAAACCACCAGTCAAGTCGGGATCCCTCTATTTTCGGGTTCGGAGCTTGCCATTTAAGCCTTTTCGCACAGCTTTCTCGAAGCCTAAAACAACGTTTCGGGCGCGGTCTCCCGAGCGAGCCTGCAACTAGATACAGCAAGTCAGCTTAAAGTACATTGGTTCTCCATGATTACAGGTACGTGTAAACCTGAGCTAGAACCCCAAATTATGCACTTCCTGCTATGGTTTGGGGTTTCGGGCGTGCCACAGGTTTTTGAAGGTTTTGGCTTTTGGCTTGGCATTCTTGCTTCCAGTGGCCCTGCCACTCTGCGACTCCACATGCACCGGCTCTCATTTCAACATTCGTCCCAAAATAGGAAAGTAAAAACCCCCAGACAGTGTTCTTGCACTGGGGTTCCAGCAACAGGAGCACAGGGAGATAGAGCGCGCACGGGTAAACGCAGGGCCTTGAAATAGAATACCTTATTGCACCTAGGCCAACATGTGCGTTTCAGTTTCACGAACGATGATACTCTCTGTGTCTCCCCGTGCCACCATGCGCCCGAGTCGCTCTCGCCAGGGTGCCCTGCGCATGTCACGGCCCGCAAAAAGCCAGGCGCTTCCCAAGAATCGCAAATGGCAATTTTGGCCTCCAAGCAGGTGCGAATTCGCAGTCTCGCCCAAGTCCCGTGCACATTCCATACTCGAAATCCTGCTCCCACCTAGGTCACGTGCATGTTCTGAGGCTTGCACCGTTGGCGAGGGCAAAAATGAAGCTTGGACCCAGGCGCGAGGCAGTCTCCGACGTGTCCGCTGGACGTTCAAGAATTGTAGCCCGAGATGATTGTGCTCTGGGGGTTTAGGCTAGGGTTTATGGTTTAGGGTTTAGGGTTTAGATTTAGGGGGATGTGGAATGCTTTTGAAGTGGTCTTACACGGCTTGGGGTCCACGCCGACAGAGACAGGTGTGGCAGACCCCAAATGGGAGGGTCCAGGTGTGGAGGCAGGGTTTTGGGGGTTCCCGTTGAGGGTAGTTCGTGGTTTAGGGTGTAAAAATTCTCTTGAGAATGCCTGCCTGGGTATTTTGAGCACCTAGCACCGCTAGTCCGTATGCATTGCTTCCGGGGTTGTACCCTTCTGCACTTGCAAAATTACCCTAACCCTAAACCCTTCATCTCCAAACCCCCAAGCTTCTGAACCCTAAACCCTAAACCCTTAACCTTTAAACCCTAAACCCTAAATCCTAAACCCTACAGTAAGCCCTAAACCCTAAAACCAAACCCTAAACCTTAAACTTGCAGGCGAAGGTCGGACGCTGTGCTGCGCAAAGGCGCGAACCATGAGTTGCCCACTGAGGAGGCCTCAACACTTTCTACTTTCCGAAAGGGCCTTGGGGGATGTTGAGTGCATCAACAACGTTAAAATTCAGATGAACAACAAATTGTGGCAGATCGTGTCAGCTCGGGGGGGTTTTGAACACAGAGCACTTGGGACCTCTCCCTTGTCTTAAGGCCACTTCTAGAACCTCCACCTCCTGCTGATCCGAACCCCGAGAACGCCCAAACAATTGTAGCCACTGGGGGCCTGCTCCCCATTCTCACTGGTCCACTCCGCGGGTGGCGAAGAAATGATAATCTGTGGCGTCTGTTTGCCCAGGACACTCTCCTGACCAACGCTCCACAGCTCGGGGTCCACCGACCCTGCGGTGCCCGAAGCCGCTGCTGTTCCCGTCATGGCTTGTAGCTGAGGCACTACAATGGGAGCAGCTGGGAGCCAAAAGAAACAGCCACACGCATCGTGCCATCAGCTTTGGGCACATCTGCAGCACTGCGTGTTTCAGAAGAAGGTGTTCAGGCTTTTGGGTTGCCTGGCTTCTGGAATTCATCTTGGGTTCGGGTTGGTGCCCAGAGATGTGACATCGTGGACTCGGACTCCGAAAGTCGCGATTGCAGTTTCGAGGGCACAGCTCCTCAAACCAAGCTGCTCGAATGGGTCCCTCTGGGTCAGCGTTGCTACAGAGCCGGCCAATGCAATACAAAGCGCCCCACGACGTCGAAAAGTTTTTTCCCCCTTGTCTGCCTTGGTGCAAAATCAACGAAAAACAATACATACATGTTGTGATGTGATGAACCGCACCGGAACCTCGATGAGGCACAGTAGACGTTCTGCATATGCAAGCACTTGACTCTTGACTCTTGCGGCACCAGCTCAGCGCCAGAATCGCCAGGCACGTTTTCACTCTGCATGCTGTCGCACGGATCCGGGTTGCACCATAATTCGTCTGTCGTTGACAGAGCTGGGAATTCCGGGCAAAAGGTACCTCCTCTTGCAACTCTTAGACTACTTTCTGTATATTTGGCCGTAAACGAGTTAAAAGAATTCCACGAGAACACTGCCCCGCAACCCCGAACCTGCAAACCCCAAATCCAACAGACCCTATACATATATATATATAAACCAGAGAACCCTGGGTCCCCATCTTGAGGATTGGAACGCGTAGGGTTTATGCCTTGGCGGTTTAGCGGCATTGCGGCTGACAGTTCAGACAAGAGCCTTAACCATCTCGTGGTTCTGCAGGGTCACGGGGGTGCTTCGCGGAAATGGGCTCTGGGTGCGGCCTTTGAGGCTGAACCCGACTCCGACGATTACTCCTGCTACACTGTACATGGTTTGCGCGAGACGCATTCGCGTCGCGAAGGGGAGGTGGTGAATTCAACTCGAGAAGCAGTTAATTTGAAGGCACGCCTCACAGATCTCTTAACCGACAGCCGGTGGCTCGTGAGATGCATCCTAGATCATCCTAGCCTCCGTGGCCCTGGCGCGCTGCTTGGAAATGCCAACTTACGACCTCCGAGGTTTGTCCGTGCAGGTCACGTCTGGTAAAACGCCATCCCATGCTCAACCACTGCTGACGAACCACTGAAGCCCGGACCCAAAGCTGTTCATCAAACGCCGGAAGGGACTGGCCGCCCAAGGCCATCCTCACCGATCCCGCCAGCGCAGCCAACTCACACAATGTGCCCTGAAACCCCCCCGCACACACTTGCAGCTGCTCCCTCACAACGTCACGAAGTTGGACCCAAATCCCGAAACCCTCTGGAGCATTCACTGGCCATCTGTCTTCAATTTCGCGAGCAACACGCTCAGCATAGAAGATCGCGCTGTAACCGTCGAAGCTCTGGTGGCACAACTCTTCCAAAGTGTACTTCTTAGCAAGAGCAATGCTCAGCCTTCCTTCGGCCTCAGTATGTTCATACGGGTCTGAATTGCATGTTGATTCGAGGATGTACTGCAGGAGGTTGTCGTCGAAAGGGCCGAAGCAGCCTGCAAGACATGAGGAAACTTGAAACCACGACCCCAGAGATACAGCATGACAGAGCCTTAGCCCTACACCCTAAACCCAAAAAGCAAAATCGGAACACCAAGATAAGCCAAAGCAACCTGCCCAGTACCTCCTGGGAAGGCCTCTGTCGATCAATGCAAGCATCAGGTCTGCCCCATATCCCTCAACGAGACCACTGTGATGCCCAGCACCTGGGGACAGTCATGGTGAGATTGCGGTGGGGTTTACAGATGTTTACAGTTTAGGGTTCAGGGTTGAGCGGTTCGGGTTTTGGGTCTAGAACTTCTGGAGCTCACTTTGTGGGGTTTGGGGTCTTGGTGCCTCGCGGCAAGGAGAGTTTGTCCTGCACGAAGGTCCACAGGAGTTTCATCATCTCATCGTAGGGGGAGACGTGGAAGGTCTTCTCTACCGTCTGAATGTGGAGCTTCTTTCTTACAAGCCAAATCATCGTCCTCACAATGGCACGTTGGGCCGGCAGGAGAAAGTCATCTCCGAACTCGCACTGGCCTTGGCCGGACGGTATTGGGTCATAAACAATTTTCAGAAGCACGAGCATTCTGGTGAGCAATGTGCGCCCATCCGGCTCAACCTGATTTGCTTCCGCTTTCGATGTGCCCATGACTGCTTTTGTCCAAGCGGAGAAGAACTTCTGGCAAGCATTAACATCACGACCCCTTGTCTTGAAGATACCGTGGGCCAGGTTGATGACGAGAGCTGGGTCCATCAGCGTCTTCGGATCTGCCGGAAAGACGACATGGAATGGCTCCAAGTTCAGTGCATTCAGATCTTGAAACGTTGCATCCACCAGCACGCCTTCGATGGTCTGGAAAGTCTGTTCGAGAGTCTGAACCTGCATCTTTTCCACTGCAAACCGATTGGTCGTCATATGGACGGCAATCAGGGCACATGAACCAAATGGATTTGGCGGCCCATCCCAAGGCTGACTTTGCAGACTTCGGCGCTGAAGCTCATCCCAAAGGGCGAGCATTCTGGTGAGCAACGTGCATCCATCTGGCTCAACCTGATTTGCTTCCGCTTTCGATGTGTCCATGACTGCTTCTGTCCAAGCACAGAAGAACCGCTGGCAAACATCAACATCACGACCCCGTATCTCGAACATCTCGTGGGCAAGGTCGATGACAAGGCCGGTGTCCATCAGCTTTTTCGGATCTGCAGGAAAGATGAGATGGAATGGATCCACATCCAGCAAAAGCGGGGTCAGGGACATCACGTCTACTAGCGCATACTGAAGCACTCCCTGCTCCAAACATTCCGTAGCGATTTGCTCAATGCTTCCCATTTCTTTGGCATCCGTGCCAATCAGCCGGACCACACAGGCTGTGGGTGTGCGCGGGGAAGCTTTTGCGAGGTGCATCTTCACGTATCCCGCGCATACGTGTTCGTCTCGCGGCAAGTCCGCCAGGTGGATCTCCATGACTTCCCCACTCATGCGAACCACTCGAACGCAAACCATTGTGCTGCCAGTGGGGCCCAAGCCACGTGGAGAAGCTGCTTCGTCAAGTCTTACATGCACTGCATACTAGAGTGCCAAGCTGAAGCCGAAGGAGCCACACGAGATGCCGGAACCACGCTGCTGGCACACGCTCGGCCCACAACCAGTACCCCAAAAGCAAGTTTAACTCAAACTATCTGAGCATAACTCCTTGCAAAGCTTGACTCCGTCCGAAAGCCCCAGGGCCCAAACAGATCAAAAAGAAAAACAAATCCAAAAAGGCAAAAAGATCAAACATATCAAACATGTCAAACATGTCAAACATATCAAACATATCAAACATATCAAACATATCAAACACATCAAGCACAACAAGCATATCAAGCACATCAAACATATCAAACATATCAAACATATCAAACATATCAAGCATATCAAACATATCAAACATATCAAACATATCAAGCATATCAAGCATGGCGAAATCGTGTGTGTTTGAATGATGAGCATGGGTACAACATGGATGGTGACATGGTATCATGGGACTCATGGTCTATCCCAGCAAGCATCAAGATTGCCAATAAACGGGCGGGTGGCTTCCTCCAACACAGAAGAAGACGCTTGAACACTCTCGAACCCCCATTGTGTCAGGAGCACTATAGAAGCTCCGGACTCCGGAGAAGGTCCCCAGCCCCGTTGTGTCGCTATAGAATGCTAGAAGCTCCGGAGAAGGTTCCCAGCTCCATTGTGTCAGAAGTACTGAACACTTTAAAAGCTCTGGAAGGTCCCCAGCCCCATTGTGTCAGGAGTGCTATAGAAGCTGCGGAGGAGGTCCCCAGCTCCTTAGAATTACTTTCGAAGCTCTGGAGGAACCTAGCTCCAGTCTGTCAGAAGTGCGCTTCGGAGAAGGTTCCAGCCGCATTGCATCAGGAGTGCCAAAAGAATCCTGCGTCGCTTGCTGTATTGGGGGTTGGGGGGCCACTAGTCACTAGCTCGTTTTCAGGTGGAGATTCAGCTGCTATCGGCGACTTATCGCCGGCCGCGGCAGCACCTTTTTTTGAAAGCGGACACCCCAGAACACGAAAAGGTTGAAGTAGACTCTGTTATGGCTTGACTTGCGCTGTGTTGGAGGGAGCACAGAGTGCGGTTCGCAAAATGCGGTCGGTCTGCCAGAAGCGAAATCACGTTCCATGCTAGTCAGGTTGTTCCTCTTGCCCCAGATCATTTATGTTAGCCCTTTCAATGGCGCATGGTATTTCAACAGAAGCCGGGACGACCCAACACGCCTTGTTGCAATTGACCGGCCCACTGTGCTGCTGATGTAGTAAAGGCGTCCGCTTTGAAAAAGAAAGGTCATTCATATGGTTCATTCCCTGCAGTACCCGTAACTGCCAAGCATTTTGGTTGTCGCCTTGGTGTAAGGCACGCGCCGCCACTACGGCTTTCCTGGGCAAGGTGTCGGACGCCACCTTACTCCGGAAAGGGCGATTACTCAGGCGCAAGGTGTCGAGAAACCCAACAAGCCGAAAAAGAACTTAAAACACGGGATCCGGGTTTTATTCAGCTCCGCAAGCTTAGCTTTTGCCGCACGCCACAGCGCCTTCGCGGCCTGGCTGACCTTCTAATATGTTACAACCTTGCCGTTGTTCAGGTTTAGAAAAACACCGGACCGCGACCAGCGCTTTTTTTTTGACCGACGCCTCTTTACTACCAGTAGCGCAGTTGACCGTTCTTGTGGGTCTTAACACTAGGGGTGAAACAGAGCAGGTGCGAAAAACAAAGCAAATACACAAAACCAACACAAAACACAACCACCAAAACCCGCCAGCAACCAAAAAGAAGTTCTGAGTGCTGTGCTTTTGCTACGGCCTGGGACTGCGGTGCTGTCTTGCTTTCTCTGACAAAGTGTTTCAAGAGTCTGACATGGATGCCAAGAGG